AATCTTTCAACTCTATTCCTTTAAATAAATATAAAGGAATATAGTTTCTTATAACAGAGAGAGAAATACAATTTAGAACTGTTTTATTTCAGTTCTACGAAGGGATTTTTCTGGGTTGATTACCCAGAAAACAAACAGACATTTACGCGTGCGGGCATTCAACCAACAAGGTAACCAACTAAATCATTCTATTTCTATTTCAGTATCAGTGACAGCGGCCCTGATAGCCCTGTCCCTGCTCACAGTACAATGCATTAGACGTCTGTACGAGACATACTACTTGCAAGTATTTGCAAAGTCCAGCAAAATGAACCTGAGCCACTACCTCGCAGGAATCATTCATTACTTTGCTTGTATCATCGCTGTAGTTGGACAGGCACCTCTGTTTTGTGGTAAGTTTATAGAACCAGAACATTATTATATACTAGCTACTTCCGCGCGGTTTCACACGCTCTGCTCAGCTCCTATTGGTCGTAGCGTGATGTTTTATAGCCTATAGCCATCCTCGATAAATGCACTATCCAACACAAAAATAATTATTAAAATCAGACTTGTAGTTACAGAGATTAGCGCGTTCAAACAAATAAACAAAAAAACAAACTCGTCCGCTTTATATAATAGTATAAGATACATCTGTAAATTATATGGGTACCTAAATATATGATCAATTAAATCCACCACATCAAACAACTGCCAGAAATGGACAAGTTTCTTGATCAGAGTCTAAAAAGTATTCATAATTAGACAAGCGTTGACAATCTGTCGGCAGCGGGCAGACCGGATAAATTGTTTCGAGGGCTATAGTTGACACCCAATTATCTTGGACACAGCTCCAACCTGTGCATTCGCACACAATAGAATTGCATCAATATTTCTTTACGAAATCAGCATGCTTCTACTAGAAAGATAATAAAATAGTAAAAATAGTTAAACAAAGAGATTGAAATATTAGAAGAAAACTGTAGTACTTATCTCAGTGATAGAACCACATGAACGCCTCTCAAAGGTGGTACGACGTGGTGTTCGAGTATTAGACAAAGATAAGAGACAGCAAATTGATAATAAAGATTGCTATCTTATAATGATGTTGAACATAAACTTGTATTTGTTAAACTGACCAATAAAACAAATAAAAAAATCCCTTTACTTTTAATTTTGAAGGTAGTTTGTCACCTTTGAAGTGAAGGGTTAAAATATTATTTCCGTTACCTACTTAATTTAATATAGTACAAATAAAAACAATAATAAGATCCCCTTCTCTTTATTTATAGTAGTATTATTACTTCCCTTCACCTATAAAACGGCTGCTTTGCAGTTTTATTGTAATCGTATTAACTACATACAAATTGCATGTATTAGTTATGGTGCAGTTGAAGTCCAATTCTTTTTATCTAGAGCCACCACAAATTTAAGAAAGAGAATACATTTTAATCCTTACTAATATTATAAATCGGAAAGTGAGTTTGTTTGTTTGTTCCGACTTCACGCCGATTGCATTGAACTTTTGCAGACGTAAAGTTAGTAGTCTGGATTAAATAATTTTACCTCGAAAAAATTTGATATTCCCGAGGAAAAACAAAAGTATTGGTATAGATGGCGCTGTATGTATTGGTATATGTCACATAGGCTACTTTTTATCCTTTTGTGACGCGAGCGAAGCCGCGGGTAAAGCTAGTTAAAAAATAATTCGTTTAAATTCCAGGTCAACAAAACCGAGACTCGATAAAATGGAACGACCTTCGCACGACCATACTAGCCGTACCTTGCACAATCATATTCCTAATTACATGGTACGAACAATTCAGAACGAATATAATCTTCGCGAACTTGCGAAAAGATAAGAAGTCCGGCGAAGTGGTGACAGAGGAACATAAGATCCCTCATGGAAGAATGTTTGAGTACGTTTCGAGTCCGCATAGAATGTGCGAGATCATTCTTTATACTATTCTACTGATGCTCGTCCCAACGAAGACTTTCTTCTGCATTTATTTGTGGGTCTTGGGTAATCAGGTATGTTATTCTATTGTCTTATATTTGATATTAACTCGTCGAGTACCGGTTTTATAGACACAATTAAAGAACAATAGGTCGCGGTCACCGGTGACCGCTTGGTGCTTGACAGTTTAAATTAGAGTTGTGTAGGTCTATGACTTTTGACTCCCATTTACTACAGGTAGACCATATAATATTGCTATACACGCAGCAATATTTCCAAATCCCACATTAAATTCTTTGTAGGTACTTACTGTAAATTTCGAAAATTCGAAATCATTCAATATTTAACTGACCTTTTAGAAAATTAACCAATATTATTGAGGTTTTTCGTAATTTTTGTATTATTTGAAGCAGAAATTACGGTAATCAAGATAGGAATATTTGTTTTGCAATCACAGGAAAATTGGAAGTCATAAATATCATTTATATTTCCGTTGAAATCGGTTATTGTTTTTTTAATTCTGTTTATAATAATAGACCAATAATGAAACTGATTTATGAAGAAATTGCTCATTCAATATGCCTTATAAAGGCATTAGTCGTCGGTTGTGTTATTACTCAGTATACAGTTATAGGTAATTGGAATCTATTTTAATTAATGTATGTATTACCTATTGATCAAGTGTGAACAATAGTTTTTATGCAATGACGAAATTTCACAAAAAGCACGAAGACGGTCATTGCATTGTCAACGTTATCAAAGCAGTATAAGGTTGAAATTTGAAAATCTATATTTGCAAAAAGCCCAACGCTAGATAGGTTCATAATTGACCGATTTGTTTTCATTAGCAACTTCGTTTCTTACCAAAATGTCCATTTGATCATCGCCATCCAGACTAGGTACAAATAAGATAAATCCAAAATAGCTTACCGAACTATTTAATTTTATTAATTTCAGATCCAAACCGCCATCCAAGCTCACGAGTGGTACAAGAAGTCATTTGAAAAGTACCCCACCAACCGTTACGCAGTTTTCCCGCGCGTATTGTAGTTTCCCGCGCGATTTTAAAAAGAGAAGACTGAGCATTTATTTTTAAAACTATTTATGGTGTAGAAATTAACCTTTTCGCCGCCAACAACTTCTATAGAAGTTCAGGATTTTCGTGCCGTCCACGCCACTACTTCTATAGAAGTTCATTGTATCTACCTACTATAAAAAATACATTTACGATACATAAAACATTTGTTTCTTTGTAATTTTGTAATATGGACACGACGAACTATTTTTTCTCATGAAAAACAGACTATTTTCTGTTTTAAAAAGGTAAAACATAAAAGGTTTCAAATAATTTTATATCCCGCACGCCAACGACTTCATATCAAGTAGGCCAGTGATGTGACGCGTAAGGAGCATTCATTAGAATCTTTATTTACTATAATATTTGTTTTCTTTTCCATCCAATAGTTTTTTGAATTCTATGAATAAAAAGAAATTCCGGTCAGTAAATAACGTATTACAATGCGTTTCAAAATTAATGTACATCTACCTATCAAATCATTTCATTAAAATTCATTATTATGTACTGAGGGTTTTCGATATTGCTAGACCCATCTCTACGTAATGGCAAGATGTCGAGTGACACTAGCGCCGTCAACTTCAATAGAAGTAAACCTGTGACGTCGTAAGCGCTTAGGCGTCAAGGTCATTGTGTCATAGTTCCGGGCGACGCGTGCACGCACGCAATCGCACTTAATCGATTAATCGCACGGCCTATACCTATAATTATTTTCATGATTATGAAATATCCAAATGATTGAGTCATTTTGATTCGATTACAAACTGTTTGGGTCGCGAAAAATTTGTGATCGACTCAGGTCTATATTTGTTCGCCGACACAGCTAAAAGTTTGCGAAACCGAGAGCCGCAACGAATAGGTATTTTATGACTACCTAATATCCATCAAACGTGCCAGTTTTTCATTTGCATTAAATGAAAAATAAGCTATTAAAGTTTAGTACATCTGTATTAAAATAGTTACTTACCATCCATTTCCAAAACTACACATATGTTGCCACTTTTAATCACTACAAACAATGTTCCTGATCGTGACCTGACGTTAGATTTTAAATGTAAACTAAAACCAAAAGCAAACCAAACTCGATAGAAAGAAAGAAAAGCATAGACAACTATTCCTTACGAAATGTATCGTGCTTTGAACGCCAATGACTTGATATGAAGTAAACAGACTACGTTATGAAATGAATAGTGAAGTGGCTAATGTTACGAATTATTATTATTATCTCTAGCAACTCTATGCATGTATCTTCATCTCTGATAACGGATACCCATTTTTCTTAGTATAAATGTTCATAAAATAAAACAAATTACCATTATAACTTAACAGTTTGTATTTTTAATTGTAAATTTGAGTACCAATTTAAATTTACACATATTTTTTTTCATTATCGACATGATGTTACCGCCATCCCTACTTTCGTACTATACATTTATTATACATTTATACGTTGGCGTACGGCGACACATCGTGTTTAGTATAGCTGGGCGGCGAAAAGGTTAAAAGAAATTGAATACAGATTATATAAATGTTATGTTTAGTATGAAAAAATATTTATGAAGGATCATTTAGTGATTTCTTGATTAGAGAATATGTATGGCGTAATTTTTGAAAGAGAGAAATGTTACTTAGTAACAAAAGTTGGTACATTTATGCAAGACAAGCCAGAGGAGTCTAAAAACAAAAATTATATTGTAGTCATGTATTAATAAATATAATATTTTTTCATGAATTGTCGTTTTACTTTACTTTCGTCATATTGAGACTGAGATGGACAGTGAAATATTTTGCATATATTTTCAACTCTAGTCTTTACTAATAAAGGTGATTTCAAGCAGTTGTGAAGAAAAAAACAGAATAATAAATAGAAACAAGTTTATTGACCAACCGAGGAACAAAACATGGACACTCATCATTATGAAATAATTATTTATAATTGCACACACACATTCGACTTATGTCGGTCTTATTCACTAGTATTCGAACTCCTTATTTGAATAGGAAGCTGAAAATAAAAAAGAAAATTGCATTAGTATACAAATAGAATGAGACGTGTCGGGAATCTAAGTTAGTTTGGATATTGCACCTTATTTCGTAAGTTTTTAAAGTTTATTTTAGAATACAGTAGTTACCATACAGGAAACTGAGTTATCATAATATGCAACAGTACAGAGTCCATGAACCTGAAATTCTGTCTATGGTACTGAAATTCTTTTAAAAGGATTTTCAACCTTATTTTTATAAAAATTAAGATGTTTTAATTAATTAATTTCTAAAGAATGGTGAGTTTTGTTAAGATTTAGGTATATACAATAAAAAAATAAGTGCAATACATACCTATAAGGATATCCCTGCGTTTTAGCTCTAAACACAGATAACAGTAGTGAGAAGAATACACAGACGAGCACCAAACCCACGACCGATTGGAAGCGACGGCGTTTGCCTTCAGCCTGGGAACGAACCACCTCTGTGTTCTTGACACCTCCCGCAGCTTCAATCATGAGGATCATGCCTACGACTACTGCACCATCTGACATAGTCGTTCAGGAAAATATTAAAACCAATTACTGTTCGTATCATCATATTTTGGGCCAAACGACGCACTATTGAATATAAAGCTCCCCCAAAACTTTCAGAAGAGACCTGCATCCAAAGATTCTTCCAATCCAATGTTGATCGCCTAATGGCTTTAAAATCACTCTTAGACAATTAAGAGTCTGACACTCCCTCCCGCCTCACCCAGGCGGGAGCAGCCATTCGATAATTTTCCCCCCTTAAAAAAAAGACAATTAACACTAGAAAGACGGAAAAAATCATCTACCTACAAAGACGGCGAGCGGTCAAATGACTGCTCCAAGTTTTTTGATATTTTTTTTATGTTTAAGTGCTAGAAATGGTACCTATAGTATTAAACATGGTATAATATACTGTTAATTAAGTAATATGTATAGAATTTCTAATTTTATCATTTTGTTTACATTACAAAAACCGCAAAGTGGCTTTTTGCAATTGTCGCATTCTTTATGGGTTTTGTATTTGCATTTGTGTATACAATATTTTGGAATTTAATGGATTTTGTTCAGAAGATTCAGAAGTAAAAGATCTAGACTTTTCAGGCAAGGATTCAGTTTCAGAGAGTATTCTTCAATTTATACTTTGCTTCTAAGTTCGCACCCTGAACTTAGTATAAATAGCCTTTGTTTCATGTAATATTCTACATTTTCCTATACCAAATGAAGGAATTATATCTAAAAAGGAAAATTATCTAAATTATGTTATATATTTGCTAGGTCTCATATATGAAAAAAAATCTATTTCACCTTTGAGATGCTCGTAACATTTTGACCAGTATTTGCAAAAAGTTTCACAATACGCATCTGTATCAACGGATTCATCGACATTTGACCACATAAAGTAGATGCCATTTGAGGTGTGTACAAGATACAGTCGATAGTTGTGGAAAGACCTTGATGCTCAGGATCTTCCAAACTCCTTTCACAGCCTTTATCACTACCACAGCAATGACTACAACCACGAGAACCCGACCTGTCAACGTCTGATAAATTTGCTCGAAGTATCTGGTCTTTCAGGTCACTTCCGTCGGTAGAGGAATTCGAACTGACAAGTAGTACCACATAATCGTCGTCGCTATTATGTTTTGTATTTTTAGGGTCGAAATCAGACTCATCTTCACAAATATTTTGGAAGTAACAAACATTTTTTCATTTTCAAGACTCCAACACGTTGCGACCACAAACTACTTTCAATAATTTCGTAAAAGTTCACAGACACTTGAAATGATACGGTCTCATTTGATAAACAAACTATAAACAATGAATTAGTGTATATAATTTGTATTCTACCCTCTCATATTACACTTATAAACACTCATTAGTTGTCAGCAGTCAAATGACTGCCGCCGTCTTTGTCGGTAGATCAAGATTTTGAATAATAAATAAAAGAGTTGTGATTTATTTTCATACATAGTTGCATTTAACTAGTAAAATAAATAAAAGTCACAAAGTATCAGTTTAAAAACTCAAATAGATTTCAAGTCATTCAACATTTAAAATCAAATTGCGGTCAAATGACTGCTCCCGTCTTTCTAGTGTTAAACAACCATAACAATAGAGTGGAGACGCACAACACAGAAGAGAGGGGGGCAACGATTTTCAAATAAAATATAAGAAAAAAATGAGTGGTAACAAAACCGGTACCGGCGCGCGACCTTGAAAAATATTTTATCTACTAAATTACAGTACCAATTGTAATTTAATTTAAGATTTAAACGCTCTGTATTCTCATTCACCCTGTCAATCACAATAGTTATATTTCATCTCCAATAAAAGTACTTCAAAAAGGATACTCAAAACAGCAACGATGTAGCTCTCAAGGACGAATTGTCCATGTGATCCGCCATTGATGTACACTGGTCCATTCTTCGTCCTATGGAAGAATGGAGGCCCTCTGATGTGGTTCCACATTTGCCCAGACACAAAGGCAAAACAGAAGAATACAGCACACACTGCCCACATCTGCTTGTTGTATAGAAACTCCAAATTGTTCCTCCTTAGGTACAGGAAACCGGCGACCAGTATGAATAGCATTGAGAATGCTACTGCCCCCGAGTAGTTTGGTGGTCTGAATACTCTGATCTGGAAATAAAAGCATACATTAGTCATCTAAAGGCAATCAAAACACTGTTGTACTGAATTTCGACTTTTTTGATTTCTGATAAACTTCAAAATCTTTTGTAGCTAAGTCGGTAAGGACTGATTGATGTCTATTCCAATCAATAATATCAAAAAACAAATAAAAATACTTTATAAGTAGATATTAATTTTAAATACTGTAATATTCACCACCATATTTATAATTTGTGTTTAATTGAAATCCTGAAACTGTCTATAGCCTCTTTATTATTTTTTAATCAAGAGCGTTTACACAGCCTGAGAATGAATGTTTGTATGATGATGCGGGTAGCGAAAACGCTTTAATTACCACCATAGATTTTTTAAATGAGAAAATACACCATCATAAACTTATTGCTTAATTTTTTTTATGGAAATATTACATGATTAAATTGATAAAAATAATGAGTTTGTTAATTTCCATGTTTAATATTGTTCTGATACAAGACACAACTATCAAGACTAAGTAGAAGTAGGTATTCCTTGAATAAATTGCATCCATTGCTTTGTAATGAAACCGGTTTAAATATTCCTGATTTTACAAAAACTTGCATGTGTTCCACAAATAATTATTTTATGGTTTTAGGGGGATGTATAAGGCAAACCAGTGTTTGATTCAGATACAAAGCATACACAAAACTTCTTGCATAAAAATATTACCTGAACATCAGTCCTGTCTTGTATCCACTTGGCAATAGCTTCAGCGTGTATTCCAGATCTCTCAAAGTCCATGGAATCAGCTGGTTTAGGCTTACCCTTTGCAGGGAAGTGCATTATCACTGGTGCAGTGTTCAAACGTAGCTGAAAGTAGATATTATAATCAATTAGCGACACAGTACCAACTCCAGTAACTTATTTTTTATTTATTTATTTATTTATTCTTTTATGTACAAAATTTTATTATGGCACATAAGGCGAACTTAATGCCATATGGCATTCTCTACCAGTCAACGTCAGGGAAAATCAGCGAAAAGTAAGGTAAGGAGAATAAATATACAGGTTAGTTTAACTTTAAAATAAGATAAAACAAATAGTTGTTGTTCATAATGGTAAAGAGCAGTGAACAAGCATAATAGTGAAGCAAGAACACTGACAAAAAGGTGGACACAGTCTCTTGAAACAATGACTGTGGCGCTTGGTTACTAGACTGACACCCTGACACGAAGGTCATCTTTTATTTTCTTTAAACTGTCAAACACCGAGCGGTCACCGGTGACTGCAACCTATTGTTCTTTGTGTCTATAATGACGGTACTCAAAGAGTTAATCTGGTAACGTGGTTATCCGGTAGGCATGGTCGTGGTAATTAAAGTCAGTGATGTCAGTGGGTTATTTGTACATAAATAACCTACTGACATTATGATACTTCAATCATTTCTAAGTGACATTACATCCACCTTTTTTTCAACATTGTTGTACTGAAATATACAATAGAAATAAAATGTATGTATCAGTTCTCTAGCTGAGTCTACTGGGACTAGACTCAGCTGATACATTTTATCTCTGTGGCTAATAGAATTTAATGAAATTTGTATTCCTTCCACCAGTAGCTAAAATAACATTACTTACCATTTGGAAGATATCAGATCCTTCATCAAAATCAACAATACCGAAGAACAGCTTGTTATTATAAGATGGTGAGAACCTGAAGGAGTTGGCTACAATTAGATACTCGTCATAAACATGCTGACAGATGGCACAGCGACGAGCCGGAGCCATAGCAGTGAACATTATGATGAAGGAGTAATCTCTGGGCGGAGACTTCACATACTCCTTGAATTTATTCAGGTTTAGAGATACTATTGACTTCTTAGATGTAAGGTCTGTTAACTGCTGGACTTTTTCTTCAAGCTGAAAATGTAAATTGATTGGTTAGTGACATGTCACAGTCAAATCCCTTATTGCCCTTATGAGTTCAGATTAGGTCTTAAAATATTGTGGCAAGTATGTAGCACTGAGAAGTTTTTTTTTTAATATTCTCTTTAGTAGAACGGAGTCTGAAATTGGGCCCAGTATTTTGCAATACTCACTCGCTATTAAATGGGACTCATAACATAAATAGTAAAAAGTGGGTGATACATTGTACAGTGGTAGTAAATGCCGTTATGTGCACATCTGCATACCCCATGAGGGATAAAAAGCATAGTGATATGTTAAGTAGCACATGAACCTTGCTAGGGCACTTCAGGGAATACATTTTTATCATCTTCTTAAGTTATAATAAAAGGTGACTTTGTCTGGAAAGTCTAATGAGCTTAAGTTGGAAAACAATTACAATAGCCTAATATATTCTGTAACATCAAAGAGTATCATCTGCAATTCTTGCATTAGTAGCTATAAATTGTATAGTTGATGTTTTATAAACCTCTTTCGAATGTTGTGTATAATGTTTCCTTTCAAGTCATTTGTTTTATGTTATGAATAATTTAGTAAATGTAACGACATAACACATATGCAAATTATCTATGTGAAGATAAGCTCAGTTTATTATTTATCAGAGGCAACTTAGGTGTACAAGGCTTATGGGAGAAATAACTTCTGAATAGGGGTGTTACATAGCATTTTGTTTTACAAGTTAAATACGCTAAAGAAACTGCGAAAAATTTATTAATATACTACAATTTAAATAAGTATGAAAACGATGAGTTTCCTTGTGGATAAATAATTTTACACCTATGATAAACATGCCATTTTCCTGTTCCATAAAATCATTATTTCAAGTAATTAAAAGCAGTTTTATAATACTATTAAGTACAAAGTAATATGCACAACAGAAATTAATGACCTCATTAACGATATTTGCCTATTTTATGTCTAAACGCCGGTTTCAAAATTGCTAAGTTAGAATCTAACTTACCCCTTTTCCACGTGTCTGGGCATTTCCTTCATAGTAAGTAAGAATTACTGTTAGGAACAATAATAGTTTATACTTCATTTTGCCACTTTATTTATTAAAAATCGCAAAGAAATGCAAATCTCAGAATCAAACACTACTCGATTTTGACGTTTGCCACCTCAAATCGAACGTCAGAAAGAAATGACGTGTACGTGTGATACACATTCGTGGAGTCACTTGCGATTGCGAATATAAAATTAAAAATCAATGCTTTTTTAGCCAAGCAATCTGAATACGACAAGAATTAACAAAATCAGATATCTAGTCTGAAATATACAAAGTACATAGATTACAATGTATTGATCTAAAATCAGTTCTACTAGCTCATTTTAGTAGTAGCTCGAACATAAGGCATTTCTTTTATTACTGTAGATACATCTTCCTTTGAATCTAACTTTTTTTTATATATGATGGGCCGACGCGACATTTGACCACTAATTCTCATCTTGCCTGGTGGAAACCGATGATAAGGTCTACGATGGAGCACGTCGTCCCATAAGCAACATATTCACTCGGTCCTTGAAGACACTCAGGTTATACAGATTCTGGCGAAGAATTCCACTCCTTAGTAGTGTGCACAAGAAAGCTGGATGCTAGTAACTAAAACACCTAAGGTTCAAAATTGATATTGCCGATGTTGCGGGAAGATTAACTCAAGATACCTACAATAAACATAACGTCACGCCATTTCATTCCGGGATCGACAGATACGGATCTAGCCTTCACCATAGGCCTAGTTGTAGTTTTTATCACTACTATTTAACATAGGTACTAACAATATGTAGTAACGCCAAATACTATTACTTTACCCGACCCAGGAATCGAACCCGGTTAGGTACTTTGTAACCGAATTGCTTTGATTGGACCTAGTGATGCCATCACTCGAACAAGCAATCTCTAACATGACGTAACTGCGTAAGCTCATTGTATAAATTGAGTCCCCTACTATGAACTTAATTGCGCCAGATTTATGAATCTCTATTAGAGATAAATAGGTACGGTACATACCTACATAAATTATTCTATTTTTGAAATTCTCAAAGGTAAGCACCATGTAGGTGTAGGCTTAGTTTAGTGTTGTTTCCATTGGTTGTGTGGTCAGTGGTCTCCACCTTCAAAAACCCACCTTTACCTACCCACCTCTAAGATGTCAAAACAGCCGCGTGTTCATCTGTTTCTCTCATGAGACTTTTATTGGCAACGTACCTAGCTTCACTGACGCACAAACTGACATATATTATTATATTTTGTATTTGTTGACGTTTCAAAAGTCCCAAATTATGGTTTAATTGAAATAGGTAAATGCTAGACTTTTTTTTCCTTTTTGTAGATATGGATCAAAATAACTTTTATCAACCTTGGGTTTGTCCGTTACACAAAACTAAAAATTAATAACAATACCAAAATCTCAGAATACTCACCAATTACAACTCATTATAATTTTAATTGTACTATCGAGAGAAATAGGTATGTATTGTGAGTTCACATTATAATTAACTAGCTTTTACCCGCGGCTTCGCTCGTGTCACAAAAGAATAAAAAGTAGCCTATGTGACATATACCAATACATACAGCGCCATCTATACCAATAATTTTGTTTTCCCTCGGGAATATAGTTTTTTCGGGATAAAAAGTACCCTATTATTTAATCCGGACTTCTAACTTTACGTCTGCAAAAATTCAAAGCAATCGGTTGAGTAGTTACGACGTGAAGGTGGAACAAACAAACAAACTCACTTTCAGATTTAATATTAGTAAGGATAAGTTTCTTTGGCCTTGGTGAGTTGTAAATTGTGTGCCAAGATATTCTTTATACCCATATCCCAAGTTTTATTTGGATTTGGCCCATTGTCTCATTATTCTTTCAAGACTTACAAACATGTGCTTTTGTTTTAGGCCAGTTTATGATGCTTTCGAAAAGGATGAAGATCTTTCTTTTCTATTGGTTCTTCACCATGTAATGTCACTATAGAACTGGTAAATAAATTATATTTTGAAATGCAATGGTGAATGATCACATCAAGGAGTGTATTGGTTTCAATTGAAAATGCATTTCAAAACATAAAAGAATGGACTAGAGTGAAACAATTGATCATAATTTACATTAGTTGTTTTCAAAATATTTTATTAACACAATTCATTCAATAACACCAAAGATTATAACATTCTCTAACATGAAACCTAAAATAAAATACAATTTTACCTAAATGTATTTTACTTACCAATTTATAATCATTCAAACATCATTTCGACTATGAGGTATACAGAATAAATATATTTTGAAATACTTTTATTTTTCACATTATAAGTCGTCAGAAATGTAATAATACTATTTAAATATTTAATATTATATAGTAATAACTTGAATGCGATAGATAGTTGCTATATAATGTCATGAAAGCATCCGCCTTCCGAATACTTTATTTATATTGCTCGCATGAAGATTGAAAAGGAAAATAAAACACACAGTATAATCAAGTAGAAACAAAATAATATGGAATGTACAAACCATGTTTATTTACTGATTCCTGGCAATACAATGTTTGTGACTCGCTTTTGAATTTATCAACAGCCACTCGAAAGAGGATAACATTTACAGGCCCATTACAGTATGATAAGGATACATACATCCACTATAACACTGAAAGCTTATATAGCATGGTACTTAAGCCAGGTTTTACCTTAACATTCTCAGCGATAGACTTGGTACACAGTACCCTGGGGGTTTAAATGTTTCATAAATTATTAAGATAACTTGTTTGGACTTAAATTTCTACTCTAACTGTACATTAGTTTCGCCTTAACGCTAAAATAATCTAAAAGTGATATCGTCGGATGGTACGATACGAAGATACGTTCGCGAGGGGGTGTTGTTAACGCGCAAAGAAACTTCTGATATGTTGATAGGTGAAACAAAATATCTCCTGTCACCGAAAATCAAAATAAAAATGCGGTAATAAATTAGAAATAAATTACGCTGTCATCGCGCGGTAGCGTTTAAATTGTAAAACCATGATTGGGATTCGAAAATAGTGATCGTTATATTTATAAAATTGAAATAGAAAAATTATTTATACAATTCGCGTCTCTGGGCGCGGTGCGGCCGCAGCATCAAGGCTGCACCGGGCCGGAGATATGCGAAAACATATAAATGATTGACGTCCAAGTAACCAACAAGTTCTATACAAGATGTTAAAGGTGCTCCGAGGCCCTATGCGGGTCGTTTCGCTACCGGCGACGACTTTCCCTGTGCGCGACTGAGTGACTGAGCAGATTCTGAGGCATAGAAACTCGGAGCACGGGCGACGGGAGTAAGAGTGTGCTTAACGGGTTTACTGTTTCGTGTAAAGGTAAATGGCGACGATGAGACCGTATAGACCCAATACTTCAGCGAAAATGAGGATAAGGATCATTCCGACGAATAACCTGGGCTGTTGCGCGGTACCACGGACACCAGCGTCACCCACGATACCAATGGCGAAGCCGGCCGCTAGACCGGAGAAACCTACGGCGAGACCAGCGCCAAGGTGGATGAAACCCCTGGAAAAACAAATAAGGATTGGTTATCATTTCATCTTTCATTATTAAACTGTATTGCATTTCAAGAAATGCATTTCATACAATACTATTCACCTGAATCAAAAATATGATTATTTTAGAAGATCCTATCCTATATAGGAACTGTTGCTAATACAAATGTAATATAGACAGCTAAACCATTTCACTACTACATGTGACAAGTGAACATTACATAAAAACTAGTTTCGAGGTCAATAGCATGAAACATGGTCGCACGAATTATATGTCGACCGCAATTATGAAATGAAAAATGTCCCAAGTAATGTCACTGGTGTGTAACTACTATGAGTGTAATTATACTCAATCAGGCCTAACAATAACGCGCTGCCAGTTTTTATGGTACCAAGGATTACTTTATTGATTAATGAATGTATCACAGAATATATAGGTTACTGGAATATATTAAGTTTGGCGTCACGTCAAGAAACTAGGTCACTAAGTAATAAATATGGATTTCTCTCAGCATCTAGTCATACTACTAGCAGTGTGATATTTGACCTAAAATGTAAATGTAATGAATGAATCCTTTTGTGAATTCCAGCTAACTGATAATCTTCATCTAATACTGATATATTTAGCCTTATCAATTTGATTGAACGCTTCTTATCTAGTCATGTGTGCAGTGGACATTTCCATAATTCCATTATGTATAAAAAAAATTTGGGAATACTGTTAACATAATCTTGAATATTTATAATGCTTGACATTTTCTATCAGTGTAACTTATTGTTACAACTGGCTGAACAAAAGCATGTAGTTTAAAATATAATTGTCCAGACAGCATGACCGAAAAATGCCAGACATGGAAGCCATCTATTTTACCTATTGCAGACATAAAAGTTACGAGATCTAGAATAAATTGTCGGGAAGTACATCTTGGCTGTATTCCAAGCTACGTAATACTAAAAAATAGGTTACAGACACCAATAAACTCCAGACACAATTTGTTATGATGGAATGGTATGCAATGTTTAGTTGTATTGTAACTAATATATATAATATATATATTGTAAGTTGCTGTACAAATCAATACCTGTGTAAAGTAAACATTATGTCAAGATGTGAAATTGACCAGATTTTCTGAGTGAAACTTAGCATTAGATATTGAAAAAATCTAGTTTGTTAGATTCATGTTTGAAAATGCAGTAACATAACAATAGAAGGCTATGAATAGCCTTGCTTATGTAACCTTGTTCAAGTCTAACAGGAAACCAGTGAACCATTGAACCATTGATGCGTAATTGGGACTGACAGAAAAAAGTAAATTGTGTACAACTTAAAAGATTTAATAACTTTCAGTTTGCTTTTAATATTCGTCTGTGGTGAAATTGTTTGATAAGATTATGTAGTTATACTGAAGTGGGTGATATCCTGAAATATAGTCCATTTTGCAATGTTGAGAGTTTTATGACTTTGCATAATTCAATTAATTTGATAATCTCATTGCACATGATTATCTATCTTCCTGTTCATGAGTGGCATGTCATTTTTATCATGACTGATAGATATACCCACAATCCCATATGGAGAATGTTCCATCAACGAAATGTCAGAAGTAGTTGTAGTAGTAAAAATATACTTACTTGTAAAGGGTGTAGTTGTTGGACGGGGCGTCCAAGGATCCTGCAATCAGGACAGCCACTACCAGACCGTAGATGGCAATGATACCCGCCATGACGACGGGAATGATGGATTTCATGATGAGCTCGGGCCGCATCACCGACATGGCGGCGATACCGGTGCCTGACTTAGCAGTTCCATAGGCAGCTCCCAGCGCTGAAAACATCAAGTTAAAATGTTTAATAACATGTCCTGTGACTTTGATTAAAAGTAACAACCCATAACATTTAGATATCATTGTTTCTGTTGTCTATGTAGGTAGAAGAAAAACATATTGATTTATATTATGCAGGCTTATTTACTTTGTCTGTTAACAACATCTTTGTAATGTAAGATGTGTTGAGGGTATTCACCCTTAGGGAACTGACCTTTTCAGTTATATTCATAGTTGCATGTTTTAATGGCCACACCCCATATTGCAAACATTACTCAATAACAAAGATAATAATGAATAACTATGGCAAACAAGACTTATTTGCCTGTATATAAGATATACAGCAAATATCAAAGTCACATGATGATGTTCTGTAAAATTTAATTGGATTTTTCATTTTTATTATCTTATTGGATTATTTATACTGCCAGATATTCAATTTCATGTTCATAAGAATCTTGTTGCCATATAGATGAGTATGAAGAGCCATAAAGCCTCCAAACTCATGACATAACCTTAATCTTGAGACAAGCAGTCATGTGATTCAATCATTCATAATTTTACAATCAATGCTTTTCTATTGTTTTATAGACTACCATTATTGCTCTGATTGCAATTATAAGGTAATCAGTGGTTGTATCTCTATTGCTTATCTTAAGAATTTTTATCCATTGTAACTTGTTTCAGAATTTAAGTCACATGATGACTTGAAATTGAGTTTTAGTAAATTACTGTACTAATTTATAAAGCATATAGGAGAATGTTGTGCATGTATGATAATGTAACTTATTGTTAGTGTTGTAAAGTTTTAAGTTGAATGAACAGCTGACCCAGTCACATGACTTTTAAGTTCAGTCATGTGATGAGTTAAACCCATCATTTATCCCCATGTATTTCCTTCCCCATACAGCCAGGTCTTTGTGTATTATGTTAAGATAGGTTGAGAAGTTTATTATACTTGAAGCTAAAATTACTGAAGTTTAACCTATGATCAATTCCAAGACATTACAAGTCAATTGGGATGGAACTTAATCACTTAATTTCCATGAATGTTTTGCCTAATGCGGGATTTTCCCGTCAATGAACATTTTCCTCAAACAAGAATGATAATTCATTCATAAAATATTTTCGGGTAAACGTATTATTAGGGTATTAGAAGCAGTCTCATACAAAAGTATTGTTGCCGATTCAGACATTAACAGTGCTACCAACTTAATAGACAATCAATCAATCACATGACATTAATGATTCACATTTTTGTTCCTGAAAACAACGCCCAGAAAACCACCCCTTTTCCCGCAAAATACGACTTCACCCAAATCATTATCAAATTGGCTCGTTTCGTCATGCCTATCTATACATTTATGTTTCGAGTTAACGTAAAGCACAAGGTGCGGCTACTACTATAATTAGTGCTCCTAAAATAACCAGATTCGAACCGATTAACAGGAGCAAATTCTATCAGTGTGTTTACAACACCCTTCATCCAAATTGAAAGACAGGATAATCTCGCAACCCATTTCGGGAGATCGATAAAACTCAAGACAGCCATTTGTACGTTATTAGACTACAATATTACATACCGCTAAAGATGATAGCAGACGCCGCCCCCATAACTCCAAAGAAGGGTCCGTAGATTGGGTTTTCGGCCATTTTGTAGGTTTATTGAGGGAGTATTTACAGGTCCCAAAAACAGTGATGACTATCTGCACACACTCACTCCACGGAACTACTTTTGCACAGACAAATATGGCCCAAGCTTTGCAGACTCGATAGAATGGGTCATATGACGATTGATGTTCAAGGCAGTGCTCGATATGACCTAAGTTCTGATTGGTTTTGATACGTAACTTCCGAAATGCGCGACCAATCCTGAGCTAGAGATTTCGCTGCGTTATGACGTAGATCATTGATGTGGACCGCTGGCCAGCACTTTTCTTGTGCGCATGTACTAATTTATCGTTTCCGTACTTTTAACTTTTGTAATTTCGTTGTGAAGACATATTTACCTATTTTATGGGCCGTAAAAATCATTTATCTAATTATTATAACAGAAAGTGTATAAATTTAAGGGTCCTTAAAGGAAAAATATATATTTGAAATGAGTAATTATTTTCATATTGATTATTTTTTAATGTTGCCACATTGTAGAACCTACAAAACGGTAATTTAGCGTTATTAATAGTGTCTAGTATAACGTTGTACTCAGTATTCCCTGATGGGGTAGACAGCGGTGCTTATGTAATGTAATTCCTATTTATACCAGTTTCGTTACGAATCCCATGCCTGATTGTGTAAAAGTATTGCCATTTCATTTCTTTTAGAGATAACTTTGAAATTCAAATTGTTTTTCGTAGACATTAATAAGACTAGGTATCCAAATCTGTTACTACTTGCCACAAGTCAAGTCTGAAATCAACTATCATATTTAAAACTACATAAATGGGCATCAACCTTTATCTTGAAAATTGCGTTGTGTCATTATTAAAATCAATGGCATGGTGAGAAATTCACCAATCACCGAATCACAATTTGACTGCATGGTTAGCTCACTGGTTAGGCAACTGGCTGCCGCGCAACGTGTCGCGGGTTCGATTCCTACACGGTTCATTTGTGTGATCCACAAACTGTTGTTCCGGGTCTAGGTGTCATGTGTATGTGAAATTTTATGTTTGTAAACGCATTCACGACACAGGAGAAAATCCTAGTGTGGGAGAATGTTTTTTTTTAAAAAGCACAACAATTCTAATCTTCGATGAACCATCGTCACCATGATATGTGAAAGATCTTAATAATTGCGAAAAATTTCCTTGATGCAGCAATCAACGATTACTCTACCATTATTAATCAATCAGTGGGTGTAGGTGCATCTTAAGTTCAAGTTCTGTATACAATTTCCTTTGTTTGTTTCTAAATCTAGGTACAGATCCTACAGTACAAAAGAAAGAGCCTCTCTGCACTGCCACTCGGATAAAATAAAGTGTGATGTTAAATGTCATATTTAATGTAGTAGGAAAGTTATCTACTATTCTGGTATCATTTATAATGACCAAAGAGTTGGTTGTTTGGATACACATCCGGATAGTCCTTTTCCTTTTACCTTTTTCTGGATCATAGATGAAAAATATTCTGGCTGTATCCAAATGTGCGATGAAACGTCAAAAGTTGATCACGTGATGATGTGAGTGAGTAATATTTTGTTTATTGTTTTTATTTTATTGTAAATTAATAGAGTTAATTAAGATAAAAAAATAAGACGAATATTTAGTATGTTTTAAAATATATGGCACGAGCGAGCTGAGCTCAAACATTTATTATTTTATTCGTTATCTGTTGCTGTCAGCTGATTTGACAACTGTTTCTGTCAAATGTCAATAAAGTGTCAAACCAATGTAAACACGCCGGATCTCGCGTGCGAGTCCATGCTTTATAAAGTTTTGGTTATCGAAAAGTTTGTGTATAAATGTTAATAGAAGATTATGTTTATTTAAAGTGCTGTTGAGGTGATACTCGGGAACTATAATTAACACAGTGTTTTTAAGATTTTATCATGAAGTTTCATTACAAGGTATGTAATTTATTTATCTACTTCTTGAAATTTTTGTATAGTACAATATTGAGACATATATTTTGTTGTAATAAAGCCTAGTGTCCTAAAGTATATCTCTATTAAAGTACACTGAGCTATTGTTTTTTCAGTAAATTTAATTTTACTTTTAAATTACAATTAAAAAAAATAACCTTTTAATGTTTCAGTTTCAAAACTTACTAGGTACAGTGTACCGAAAGGGTGATATTTTATTTACTGGCGACGGAAACTGTGTGATAAGTCCAGTAGGAAACAAAATAACAGTTTACAACTTAAAACAGTAAGTACCTAATTAAGTTAAAAAAATATTATGCATGTGGTATTTTTTTGTGGTTCTAAACTTTTAAGTAATTATACTTGTAGTTCAACCTCTTTGGCAACTATTTACTCCTTCTCTCTCTCTCTCTCTACTATGAGGGACTCGTAACATAACTGAAAATAATATTTTTATCTAATAATGATAATTATATTCTGTATCTACATTATTACTGAGATTAACAGTTGCAACATAACATTTACTTCTTTAATTCAAACATGTCCACAACCTTTTTGAATATGTCTAAGACACAAAAGAGTTAGTAACACACATAAATTAATATAATTTGTATTTTCAAAATTCCAGGAACAAAAGTAATACACTTTCATTTGAAAGTTATTATAACTACACAACCATTGATGTCTCGCCAAACGGATCTACTCTGTTGGCTGTCAATGAAAGTAAGCACATTTATTTTATTTATTTAGGATACAAACAAAGCCAAAGGCAAAGCATTTATTTCAATTAAAAGAACAAGCACAGAACTCCATCAAACACCTGTGTTAATTAAAAATAACAAAACAGACTACTTAAAAATATAGAGGACCATACAATAATGTGTTCAATATTTTTATATACCTAAGTTGGTTCAGTGGTTTCAATGTAAATGAAATCTTATAATTTGTAAAATTAGCTAAACTCTTATTAACTCTTTGAGTAAGCATTATACGCACAATTAAAGCGGTCACCGGTGACCACTCGGTGTTTGACAGTTTAAAGCTTCAGTAGTGGTGGTGATACAGTGGTGATACACTGACCACTAGTTAATGCCTTAGCAATGTCACTGCTGACACACACACACACACATACACACTCCTCCTCGGGTTTGGTACTGCTATTGCTAAATTGAATAAGTCTATTATAAATTTAAATACACTGTGAACATTCCTGTACATGTCTCTGGATAATATACATAAATAAACTTTCTTTTAAAAAATATTGCCTCATACTAGGACTTTCTCCTGTTTCATCATTAAGTAATACATTATCTTCAATCTTTAAGAGGGTGAAGCGCAAATGATCAGCTTGCTGACATGCACAGTGATACATCGATACAAGTTCAAACAACAAGTCAGTGCGGTGCGGTTCAGTCCTGATGGAAAGTATTTTGCGGCTTGTTGTGATGATACAGGTACTGTTATAGCATTTTATCAGACATTAATTTTTTTAATACAACCCTGACCAAATGATTGAAAATAGTTGAATAAGAATAATATTTCATTAGATTTGCTTTTCTAATGTGTTTAATATGAAATTATTGTATAAAAATAATAAAGCAAATTCAAATTCGAATTCATTTATTTGCAAGAATACATATTTACAAAGGAAGATCTTACAGCCTCAACATGCCCTTGATAAATTGTGCAACTATCTACAAATACCCAATACATGGCATGCAAATTTCTTCTACATTCTAAATATTACTTAAATCAAATGCCCTGAAATTCCTACTGGGTTTAAGCTATCTATTATAGTGTCGAAACTATTGTATAGGCCTGATACAAATTTTAAATCTGTTCCAGTGTTTATAATGACAGCACCATGCACATTTACCGGAGAATTCCGTTCATTCGTCATGAAGCGGGTCTTCAAGAAAGCCAGAGACGAAGTGACTTGCATGGACTGGTCTCCCTGTTCCAAACTCCTTGCTGTGGGGTCCAAAGACACTACAACAAAAATATACACCGTAGACTACTTGGACAACCTCAGCATGTATTCGTTAAGTGGTCATACGGACAAAATAGTGGGAGTTTTCTTTGAGAGGAAAAGTTTGGATTTAATAACTGTCAGTAGGAATGGCCAGGTTTGTTTGTGGGAGTCCAATATTGATATAGATGATCTGGTAGTCTCTGATGTTCAGATATCTCATCGCAAAAAACGGAAAATGGCTAAGGATGAGGAAAGTGAGGATGAAGTTGACGAGAAGGCTGTTATTGAGAAGGATAAAGAATATGTAAGTACAATTTTCAATACTACAAAATATCAATGATATAAGTATTTATACATACATATAAAAACATTTCTAAAATTAAAAAACAGTCTTCAGTGTAAAAGAAATTGTTTCGTCTCCAATACGATAGCTATCGTTTTTGTCGTTACCATACAAGTGTAGAACTTTACAAATTGAAAAGCCCTTTATAGTCAATACATTTTACATAATCCGTTACATCACGCCTTTTATCCCCATTACGGCACTTAATACCACTGTATAATGTAACACTCACTTTTCACTATTGATGTTATGAGTCCCATGTAATAGTTGATGAGCCGTATACCAGGCTACAACAAAGGCGACAACTCCGTGCTACTACTAAAAAAAATTTGAAAAACCTAGTAATACTTTGCACGACCCTCGAATCGAACCCAAGACCCCTTGCCCGGCAGTCGCACTTGCGACCCCTTGGCAGACATTTCTCAATTCAATTTAAGATTCAAAATGATATCCAACATATAAACAAACTAATACTAACTTTAAGATAACCATATCACACTCATAATTTCCAGGAAAGTGAAAACGAAGAAGAAGAAATAGAAACAGAGAAAGAAATAAAAACGGAAGAAGTAACAAAGTTGTTATATAAGAAGTTGGGCCGACATTACATAGGAGATGATATCAGGAGCAAACACCATAAGGTCAAGTTGACGGCCGCACAGTATCATAGGGAAACCAAGATGTTGGTTACAGGTATGTGGACATTGAATACATAATATTGTATGATATTTAATGTTTTAATCACTTGATATAAATCTCCAAAATTGATTCATGCAAATGTAGTCTCTAGGCATCGGTAATAAGGTCTATAATGAAGTTAGTGGAGAGTAGTGATCGCTTGGGGATTGATCAGTTAATAGGTGTTCTAAAGACCTTCATAAATACTTATAACACAATCGTAACATACCTTAATTAAATTCATTCTAAATGCTATTCTTTGAGGGAACATAACTTCACGCTTTTTATTCATTTAGGGCGTATAATGCGCATGCGTATAATGCGCATAATGTAACACCCATTATTCACTAACTAGCTTTTACCCGCGGCTTCGCTCGCGTCACATAAGGATAAAAAGTAGCCTATGTGAAATATACCAATACACACAGCGCCATTTATACCAATACTTTTGTTTTACCTCGGGAATATCAATTTTTCCATGATAAAAAATACCCTATTATTTAATCCGGACTCATAACTTTACGTCTGCAAAAATTCAAATCAATCGGTTTAGTAGTTACGGCGTGAAAGCGGAACAAACAAACAAACTCACTTTCCGATTTATAATATTAGTAAGGATTAGGTTATGAGATGCTAAGAATTCGAATAACAAAAGAAGCTTGTTAATACTTTGCTCCACCCAGCAATCGAAGAGTCTCTCTCTCTCACTCTCGACAGAGAGATCCGAGACTCCTCTAACACCAATAAAATACCCGACTAATTAATTGTCCACTTTTCCAGGTTTCTCAACTGGTATATTTTACCTGCACGAGATGCCCGATGTGAATCTCATCCATACACTCAGCATATCAGAACATAGGATCAGCAGTATCGCTATCTCAACTCCTGGAGACTGGATAGCTTTTGGATGCCCTAATATCGGCCAGCTTCTCGTTTGGGAGTGGCAAAGTAAGTCGTGATAATTGATTATTGTACCCTGTGTAGTTTTCAATTGAATATCAATCTTATGTTCTTTGATATTAGGTTGGAATATAAGTTAAATGAAAATAATGTAGTAGTAGTGTGTAGATTAAAGACTGTGTATAAAATTTTTTGCCAGGTGAACATTAAAATTTAATTTGTTGAAGTAAAAATCAATCTTGACACCTTCTTTCAAAGCATAATTTTCAAAACCGACAACCTTGAAATATCTTTTTATGAGATTTTGGTCGAGCAGTTCTTTTTTTTCATGGGGTAAGTCTATAAACGAGCAGACGGATCACCTGATGGTAAGCAATCGGCGCCGCCCATGGACACCTGGAACACCAAGACAACGTTACAAGTGCGTTACCGGCTTTTTGGGAATTGAGAATTTGAGGATTTTGAGGGATTGGGGGATTAAGGAGACTGGGGGATTGAGGAGACTGGGGAGGGGGAGGTAATTAGGCCTCCAGTAACCTCACTCACATGACGAAAGCAATTATCAATCTTAACCAATTAACCTAAAGCTTAACAATTATCACCCTTCACACACTAAACATAAAACTCAAATTTCCAGGTGAACAATATGTAATGAAGCAACAAGGTCATTCCTTAGACATGACGTGCCTGGCATACTCTCCTGACGGCCTGTACATAGTGACAGGAGGATATGATGGCAAGGTCAAAGTATGGAATACGACCAATAGTTTCTGCTTTGTGACCTTCAATGAACATAAGTCTACAGTCACTAGTATCACTTTTAGTGCCAACAAGAAGTTCTTTGTGTCCGCTAGTCTGGATGGGACGGTGCGGTGCTATGATTTGACTAGGTGAGTTTCTGATATTGTGATTTGAACTTTATTTGTAAGTTTTTTAAGTTATGTTTTGCGTTGTGATATGAAATTACTTACGTAAATTGTTACTGTTCTTTGTAGGTAACTATTCTTAAGTTTTTTTCTTCTCAGACATTTTTTAAATTACTGAAAGTCATGTTTTGTATAGCAAAACATGCTCTGATCTCTGTTGCAAAACAATCTAGACTTTAACTCGCTAGCAATAAACTCTACAATCCCAGGTACCGCAACTTCCGTACACTGATATCGCCGTCTCTGGTACAAACTGTACTGTAGTTGTGTAGCTCTGGACGCTAGCTCCGAGTTCTGTGTCGCGATGCAGTATAGACTTAACTCCCTGACAATAAGCTCTACTTTCCCAGGTACCGCAACTTCCGTACACTGACATCTCCGTCACTGGTACAGTTTAGCTGCGTAGCTCTGGACGCTAGCTCCGAACTATGTGCTGCGGGAGGACAGGATGTCTTCGAAGTGTTCCTCTGGTCTATCAAGTTTGGGAAGCTTTTGGATGTGAGTATTACGTTTAATTACCTAAATTATTAAACAAAAATTCATTCAAATTAGTTCAGCCGTTTAGGATAACTAACCTAGATAACGACTGCAGCGCCATCTGCCGGGCTGATTTGTGAATCTAAACCACCCAGGGCGCTACTCAAACGCGTACAGATAATAGATTAATAATACTTGATACCTGTCTAACTTAAAAACTATTTGTACACCAATTTTATTGGTAGAACATGGAGATGCTATTAATGTGTATTAAACACCCTTCTGTATTACCTGTGTTCACAAATAAATTGATTTGATTTGATTTAAAAATTGTGTGTGCTATTGGTTGTGTGTACAGGTATTAAAACAATTAAAAATAAATCATACAAGGAATCAAATCTATGTGCACTTTTTTGTAAATCTGTTCAAAATAAATTTCTTTATCGTTATAAAAGAAGACATTGTTCCACGTTACAATTTTACTCCTATCAGCACGGGTGCGTTTACAAATATAGAAACATACACATTACACTCCGACATTACTGGATCACCCAAGGGGTTGATTCGTTTTTTCTCCAACTGTGGCAAATAAACTTATGGTTTTGTTAATCTGTGCTTTTTTGTAAAACATTGTACCCTTTTTCTTTATGATTTACATACCAATTTATTCCTTATGAAATAAATTTCAATCTTCAGGTACTAGGAGGTCATGAAGCACCAGTATCTTGCGTCTCCTTCAGTCCGACGCTATCGAGCTCCCGCCTTGTATCCGCAAGTTGGGACAAAACCATTCGTATTTGGAACTGCATTGAAACCAGCGCCGACTGCGAAACGGTTCAACTTACGTCGGACGCCTTACAAGTTGCTTTTAGACCTGATGGTGAAGAGGTAAGGTTTTATTAGCTGTTATAATAATTAGAAGAAATAGAATTTTAACCGTAACAAAACAATAATAACGTTCATATTCCTTTACCAGGCAGCAGTACCATGCTTAACATGACCAATTGCAAAAATCATATATTTTGACAAACTAATCTCAACCATAACCAAACGCAAATAACGTTCAATTTCCATCATCAGATAGCAGTATCATCTTTAGACGGCAATATAACATTCTTCAATACGACCACGGGAGACCAGACAGGCAGCATTGAAGGAAGAAACGACCTCGGATCAGGAAGAGCTGATACCGACCTTATAACTCCTGAGAAAATGTTGAAGACCAAGTAAGTTTAATTTTAAAATGTATGCTTTGTGTGCTTAGGTTGGTTGTTGGTTGGAGATGAAGATGTGTCTTAGTATTTTTAGTGCATCAACCTCTAGTCTGTCAATAGATTTATAACTTTATTGCTATCTAAGAAGGTCTAAAATAAGTTGACAGTTTTCAATCTTATTGCCGTGAACGATTAAAAGGAACTCAATTTGTACCTACACTGAACAATAAAATCCTATCTCAATTTTATTCACATCGCTATTCTTTATCACCTATTAATTGTTGTGGTTATTAATTCCAGAGCATTCACAACAATATGCTACTCAGCGGACGGGTCCTGTATCCTGGGCGCGGGCAACTCGAAACATGTTTGTTTATACAGCGTGAGAGAAGGCATACTCATCAAGAAGTTTGTCATCACACAGAACCGGTCTCTGGATGCTGTTAATGTGAGTTACAATACAAAATATAATAATAATATATTGTATGCATATTCTTTAGCTTATCAAACTAAATTAATGTTTTATAAACCAAAAAACGGAGAGCCATGTTTTGTTAATGGGCCGGCTCTACCGGATTGATACCATGGCCTTACAGAAAATCGTCGCGAAACCACACTTATGGTTGTATCTCAATCCTCTAATCCCCCAATCCCCCAATCCCCCAATCCCCCAATCCCCCAATCACCCAATCCCCCAATCCCCCAATCCCCCAATCCCCCAATAACTCAATAACCCAATTCCTCAATACCCCAACACCAATCCTCAAATGGCCAGCACTTTGAAGATACGTTCCTATAACCTTACAACAATATTTTTTTGTTTGAGCGAATGTGTTTTTCTACAGAACTTCAGATAAGTTATATCTTATTATAATGTGTAATAGTTATTCATAATTTATACTATCAGGACTTCATAAATCGCCGCCTAATGACGGAGTTTGGTAACATGGCGCTGGTGGAAGAGCGAGGGGATTTGGAAGGCGGTGATGTTAATGTCAGGCTGCCCGGCGTCAGGGACGGAGATATGGCTGATAGGAGAGTTAAACCTGAGGTAAGTTGAAGTGTCAGCTTTGTTTAACATTGAGTATTTTTAGGAAACATGCTTTAAGTAATAATAATAAGTCTTAAGTAGTTAATTTTTATTAGTAGGTGTGCTCTATTTTTGGCCACATTCTTGCTTAATACAGTCCTTTAAAATAATTTTAAAAATCGCAATAATACATTACTCGACTTAGTATTTTACCAATGTATTGATCGATGGTCACACTTGCGGTTACTCAACCATAACTTACATAAATACGTTTAATTTAGTATTTGTGTATTATGTTACACCTTTTTTTAGTCATAATAACAATCTTGTAAAAATTTTTTTCTGAATGTAATATCTTTATCTATTATTCTTATATTTGTTCCTAGGTACGAGTACACTGTGTAAGATTCTCCCCTACCGGCGAAAGTTTTGCAGTGGCAGCCACTGAAGGTCTGCTCATATACAGCCAGAATGCAGGCATTGATGGCACATTCAGGTACTAAACTAAACATAACTCTACTCAGCTCCTATTGGTCGTAGCGTGATGTTTTATAGCCCATAGCCATCCTCGATAAATGTGCTATCCAACACAAAATGAATTATTCAAATCAGACTTGTAGTTACGGAGATTAGCGCGTTCAACCAAACAAAGAATAAAACAAACTCTTCCGCTTTATATAATGTTTTAAATTGTATAAGATTTATACTTTGTTTCTTTAATGATGTGCTTTTATTTATTTCATCTTGTTTTCGTCTAACGGTTTGAAATATGTAATGAATATACAAGTGATGTTTTAATTTTTTATCCTACCTTTTTGTAAGTGAAAGCATTTTGTTGTAACCAGATTGGACTGAATGTTAAAATTTTTTTGAAGTGAAATCCTCCTTTATGTTTTAATCTTCTCAAGTTATCGTCAGGCCAGTATGAACAATAAAATTGGCATCAAAATTTTAATGAGCATGCAGCATGCTATGTAATTCAGGTATAGCATGATAGCATATCAAAGGAATCGCAATTTAGACCTTAATGTTCTACGTTTAAGGTAATAATTTTCTTGTTATTTTTCCTAGGCCGTTCCGATTAGAAGCTGGTTCGACTCCATATGCAGTGAAGCAACATTTGTCGGAGGAGGCCTGGGGCTCCGCCCTCGTGGCCGCGCTACAACTCAACGAGCACTCTGTCATACAACAGTGTGTGGAGGCTGTACCGGCTAATGATAGTAAGTTCATTTTTGTATTACAAAGTATTGTGAAGTCAAAGTTCCATTGTTAAATAAATACTGTAACCTCTTCTGGCTAGAAATACTAAGGAGAGTGTGATTTTTACCTCATTCAGTATACCATCAACCCCCATAAGGGCCGCTGGGTCTTCTAATTAGAGAGCTCTGGAGAGCCCAATACTACTGCTGAACAAAGATTTCCCACTAATGGGGGTTCGGCATAAACCTTAAAGGGTAGTAATAAAAGCTCCGACAAGAAAAGAAGAATTGTCCTTAATGAAAATATTAAATCTACTGCCTAAAATACTAACTTTCCGACTACTTTACATGACTGTTTATTGCTACTATACTAACCCAACCTAAAACGTCTGTTGTCGGTAACTTAGTAATTTTGTCGGAGGTTCAATATTCTGTTCGGAAATTTAGTTTTGTTATTCGAAGATCCATTTTTATAGTCGGCCACAGATTGCTGGAGATTGATTTGTTTTTCGGAATTTCGAAAAAGTTTATTATTTTCAAACCTTAAATTTGCTTGGCTTCACAATTGGGTCACCGAAATTTTACTGGTAGCTGCAACATTTCTCGATGGCTGGTGACACTTTTCATCCATCCCTGGCTCCAGATCTATCTTAGATGAACATCTACATCTAAATCCATTTAACCAAATTCTTCTTTTCCACCAGTTACCCTAACAGTGACGAACTTAGACGACGACTACTCAGACCGCCTGCTGAACTCAATAGCTCGACTCTTGGAGGACAGTCGACACCTGGAACACCTGCTCCTGTGGGTGAAGGCATTAGTCACTGTCAAGAGGAGGAAGTTCCCTCCCAGCGTACTACTGGCGCTGGAGAAGGTGCTAACTGTCAAGTATTCGCAGATTAGTAAAATGTAAGTATCGTTTTTTTACTTTTGATTCTTCGATAAATTATTATTATTGTATCTTTTTACTGTAATTTTGGATATTATTTTATCCTACAATGTGGCATTTTCAATCTTAACCCAAGTTCTGTGTTAAAGGTATGTAATGACTGCATTCGGCTTGGTAAAAACACTTAGTTCTATACCCACAGATCAGAATCATTCTTCTTCATAAATAAAGTCAAAGTCAAAATTATTTATTTCAATTAGACCAGGATGGCACTTTTGAATGTCAACAAAAAATTTAAAGTGAAGCTATTTGCTTATTCCAAGATGTACCTCTAGATTCCTATGGAGAAGATCGAGCAATAAATTCCATAGGTTACTCTTTTTCAATCAGGTTTACAATACAATTATTTAGTTACATAGTTTTCTGGGTTCATTTGTATGAAATCAATGTAAAACCAAAAACCCTAAGGACAATAAATTCATGGAGTCTGGATCTGACCAGTCCCAGTTGACGCCGCCCGTTCACGAACATGATACGTACACCAGCACCGCCCAACTCAACCATATTGCAGGGAATCGAGCGATCCACTGCACGCGCTACCGCCAATAATTTGGCCTTTAACATAAAAAAATAATTTTACAGCAGCACATAGATTACAAAAAACCAGGGTTAATTTCTGGCCACCCTGATGTTAGAAATTGTCTAGTTAATAATAGAAATCGTCCATTACCATACCAAACTAAATTGTAAAGTCACAATTTATTACATGAAGTGTTACATAAATCGCTTCTACAGAAATCATTGTCGTGCATGCTAATTTAATTTATGTGATGACGTGTTCTGAATATCTGACTCATTGCGAGATTATAATTCTGACGCCTGTTTGCTGACGAGTCTCCATCAGTTTCCTTATTTTGTATTGTTAGTTATAAGATATAAAAATATGACTGCCTCGTTGGCCGAGTGGGCGCAAATGCGACTACTGGTTTCGGGTTCGATTCCCGGGTCGGGCAAAGTATTACTGGGTTTTTAAAAATCTTAGTAGTAGCACGGAGTCTGGAAATGTACCCGGTATATGGCAATAGGTTCACCCCCTATTACATGGGACTCATAACATAAATAGTGAAAAGTGGGTGTTACATTGTACAGTGGCATTAAGTGCCGTAATGTGCACCTCTGCCTACCCCTTCGGGGATAAAAGGCGTGATGTTATGTTATGATGTTATGTATAATGTTTATGTCTAAATCTTTGATATAAATTGTCTCTTGAAGGGAAACTTACTTTGAGAATCGAGGTAAATAATGTAATTGGAATCTTTTTGAAAGTAAAGGTTTCAGTTTTAAAATCATAATAAAACTATCATAAATATTTGATTTCTTACATTATCTTAAGTCTCTGCTGGGCCCTTAAGGACTTAAAGCATGAATTTAATTTTTAGTCAAAATGTAATCGTTATGATTAGTGTAAAAATCAATGAACATAATAATCACATTTTTTACCTCCCTTTTTTTGTTGTTGACTGGGGAATCCTCCACAAGGCGCCTTATTTTTTTGGGGACAAAGATTAAGAAGTGTGGGATTTTCACCTCACTAAAACCTCCCCGGTGGCCACCATCCGCATCTGAAGGAGGCACCGGGTCCTCTTAGTAGACCATTTCCGGACCATCCACCATGCAACGCCTGTTACGCCACCTCCCTATGTTGACCTATGTGTCTACCTAGAGCCTCTCTGTGCAGTGCACGTGACCACTATGCCGCACTCTTTACGTACCTATCCATTAAAATAAAAAACGTTAAGCGAAAATCTTCCCAAACTCATCATAACTAGGAACGCTTATGACGTAAACCTAGATTTCGTATAACATCGATAAATCACACGCGACTCAGATCGTGACGGTTGTAAGGTCAAGTGTACGATAGCGTAGTCTTCCAACTCCTAATATTTTGAGAACGACCTTGAATTTTGTCGCGAGCCGTCCATTTTTTCCGCGCTTTTGTTCGAATGAATTAGACTAAAAATAATTGTTATGGCTGAATTAAAGGTTCTGGTCTTGATTTCTTAGTTGTGATTGATGATTGTAAGATTTTCTTGTGGTCTGGATAATGTTAGGATAATCATCAATCATCGACTTTGATATCCACTATTAGGTTACCGGGGCTTCGGCTCGACGTGCAGGAAAAGGAACGGGGTGGTTTTTAGCCAGTAAGAGTCTGACACTCTCTCCCGCCTCACTCAGGCGGGAGTAGTCAATCGATGATTTTGCCCCTTAAAAAAAAACAAGCCCTTCAGGGTTGGTCCTCTAATCTACACGCTTTGGGTTGGTGATCGCGTTAATTAAAGAGCGCTGCTGCATGGTCTCTGTTATCTGTTAAAGGTGTAGTTCCTTAGGTGACTCTTAATAAGGCAACTTTCAAGGCTAATAAACAATTATTTTAAGAATGTGTCTACCTATCAGCCAGTCCTCCAGTAAAGCTATTTTCTTTAAAGAATTTGACTTTAAAAATAACGAGCAAAAACTCCATGGTTACTCTTTTAACCTGTTTCTCGTTGGACTCTGACAATTCATATAGAAGGGTCTGAATACGACTGATACACGCCGACATTATTTGATGAACGTTATCATTCGATAAGATTGAATATCCAAAGATATCGAGATAGTGAGAAGGGTACGCCTTACACAAAATGTCTAGCCCTACCTGTATCATAAATCAAACTGATATATTGCCTAGGTTTATGCCTAGAATTTTGAATTTTTACCTACACGCGTAAGGTATCATGTTTAGGTTTTTGCTATGGATGAGATGACATTATTGAATTCGATACGTTTCTTGGGAAATGGAAATACGACCGATGTGTACTTGAAAAGGATGTGGAGGATTTATTTATTTTTCTAAATGCAATAGTTGTGTCAGGAGCCGTGTGGCAGAGTTAGATAAAATTTTCACCACCCTTACTTGTGGCGGGTGTAAGAGCTGACTTAAAGACCTAACATATTTAGATACTGGGCAGCAGCGTCGTCTGGTAAACCATATTTTACTTAAAACAAGCTGACTCCCCAGTCACCCACCGGGGGGGGGGGCATTATCCAATGGCTTCTCCCGCTTTAGGTGAGGCGAGAGAGAGTGTCAGACTCTTACTGATTAAAACCACTCCATTCCTAGTTCAGCGCTTCGAGCCGGAACCCCGGACGGAGCAGCGGAAGACCAAACCGTTAAGTCTTCCGCTGCTCCGTATAGCCCACCTGACTAGTGCAAATTATGGTCAACTCTTCTACATGAAGAGTCCGATAATGAACTATCTTTGACTGTTGATAATTTCCTATTGATTTTGTACAAAGTCTGTCTGTAATCAGCGGTGGCGCCCTCATCTCCTATTCTATATTAATCACCGTCTAAGATCGTTGAAGATGAGACGCTACTTACTGCCTCGTTGGCCAAGTGGTCTCGGGTTCGATTTCCTGTCCAATCCAGTTTTGAAATATTTACAGTTTTCCACAAATTGCTTACATCCAATATTACGTTATTTTAAGGTCATACTAGATCGGTATTCGCACGTTATGACACTGACTGAAGTTTACTGTATCAATTTGCACGTGATACAAATCAGCTGATTGCGACTCGCGTGGAATTCAACACTGTTTCTCAGCTGATTTTACCGATTTAGATATTTGAAAAGTTATGCTTTGAAAATGTACGACTGTTTAAATTATTTGGAACCTACATAGTCGTATAGTTACTGTATGGAATGTTGAGTGTGTTGTCTGGATTGGTTGTCTTTTATAAAAATATGATAATTTTCTATATTACTGTTTTATATCTTGGTGAACTTAGCTGATCATTGTCCAGCAGATCAAAAATAAATGAGGGTTCTTATCGCATCGACTGCCTCGTTGGCCGAGTGGTCGCAAGTGCGTCTCGGATTCGATTCCCAGTTCGAGCAAAGTAGTACTGGGTTTTTCAGTAGTAGCATGGAGTCTGAAATTGTGCCCGGTATATGGCAATAGGCTCACCCCCTATTACATGGGACTCATAACATAAATAGTGAAATGTGGGTGTTACATTGTACAGTGGCATTAAGTGCCGTAATATGCATCTCGGCTTACCCCTTCGGAATTAAAGGCGTGCAGCTGAGTTCTACAGTTCCTGATACCTTTTAGAAATAGTTCCGGTGTTTTTACCTTGAACTTGTTTTCTAGAACTCAGCTGCATGCGATAAGAACTCTCATTTATTTTTGATCTGCTGGACAATGATCAACTCTTCACCAACACCTGTTTTACTAAGTAGTCGACTGTGTACGGCTATTATATATTAAGAACAAGTTATTCCATATTATAACATAGTGTGGGAACTGAACACAATAACAATGATTGATATCTCGTCAGTTATCTAACTACTTAAATATTCAACGTATGTCGCCATGTTCTATAAATTAACTAGATTCCTTGTTGTTAGGCACGAGGTCGTGCACAGACAGGTAATAAAATGTAATGTAGTTTTATTCCTCTCCTAAAAATTGTGTTTCGTCGTATGACTGAGGTTACCGGAGGCCTAATTACCCTACCTCCCTCCCCAACCTACTCAAATTCCTAATCCCTAAAAGGCCGGTAAATGCTTTACAAATTACAAATGTATTAGCATTACAAATGTAATGCCTCTAGTGTTCCGGGTGTCCGGAATAGGGGACGCCGATTGCTTGCCATCAGGTGATTTGTATGCTTGTTTACCGGCTTGTTCCATAAAAATGATAACGGATTTTTTGAGCATTGAAGACCTATGTACAGATTAGGACATCAAGTTAATTTAAACTGTATTTCTGTTCCATTTTATGCTTTAACGTTATGTAATAAAGTTGAAAATGTATTAGTTGGTTTAACTTAGCTCCAGACTGGACAAAGCTGGAGTGGAGATCTCATATGAATAATGTATCGCAGGGTCAGGTCGGGGCTGCGCACAACCTTTCGGGTTACAGGGGCTTTGGCTCGAAACAAGAGTAGGAACAGAGTGGTTGTTTAGTCAGTAAGAGTCTAACACTTTCTCGCCTCAGCCAAGGAAGGAGAAGTTATTTGATGATTCCGCCCCCTCAAAAAAGGGCCAACTTCCCAAAAGATTCAACAAGAATTGGGATGATGACAGGGTATAAAAATTAAAAATCTAATTAGTCCGTCAGTTAGGTAATGAAAAAATATTAGACACGTATTTTTTTATTTTGTCATATAATAAAACGAATCAAAGTTTAGGAGTGGGGGCTAAAACGTCAATTCTACGTTTAAAATGTACATAGAAGTGACGTCACGCGACATTTCAAATCAATATATCGTCGAAAGTATTCGTTTATGTAGGAAAATAGAAAATACATGTCTAATGATTTTAAATAATCTACCAGAAGGACATTAAAATAAAAATTAGGCATCTACCCTTTTATTATCAGCAAGAGTAGTATTATAAAAAAAGTTTGTAAAACTGTGACTTAAATTTTTTTTCTTCATCTTAGTTACCTAATTAAAAGTGGCGGCAACATCAAGCTACTTTACTGGTAACTAACAAGCTTCATTAACGAACCGACTGACGGACTATTTTACTTTATTTTTGATGTTCCAGAATACTCCTTCGGTCTTATTGAAATGAATAACCCATTAAGCTATTCCGTTAAAGAAATATCAACCTTATGTTTAACAGGTTTCGATCTAAAATAGATTGATTAAGATGTCTTCGTGCCATTCCATAATGAGATTTTACGTAAGAAACTGAATGATAAGACTCGTCAGCTGCTTATCGTAATGTGAAAGTACTGTTTCAAGGATATGAGTGACCTAGTGATGTACTCACAATCTGTCATCTCCACTTGTTGATAACGTTACTGCTGATATGGAACTAGCGGAGATTGTATGTAACTTGGTGTTACTTCAGAATGTTAGTAAAATCTTTCTAAAAATGTTGATCCACAAGGAAACATGAAGTTATTTCGAGGTCTAAACAGGTCCTGGTCTTAAGTAACCAATAGATATCTGAATTATTCCGGATATTCTGGTCCTTATGGTTTCTATTTTTTTTTTGTGGGATAAACCCGTAAACGAACAGACGAATCACCTGATGATAAGCAATCGATGTCGCCCATGAGCATACGGAACACCAAAGGCGTTACAAGTGCGTTACCGGCCTTTTGGGATTAGGAATTTGAGCATTGTTGGGATCATTATTGTTGAAATGTATAAATCTTCTAACAGTTATTGTATTTTTAAAGAATTCTGTCTAAAGTCATTCCTATTTCCTACCTACCTACCTAAACTAAAATGGTTTTCATATACTATCGCTCCGTTCACCTGTCTCAATAATAAACATGGTAAATTGGTAATTAACATTTAATTTCTCGTTTCTTCACAGATGTGACTTCAACAAATACACGATACGCTGCATCAGGACTGTCGGTGAGTTGGCTCCGAAGATGGAAGTGGACGAACAAACGGATAGCGACAATGAATCCAGTGGACGAGGCACCTTCTCTGATACGGATTAGTTAGAAATAAATGATTAAATCTATGTTTTCTGTGTATTATTTTTAATTGTCGTTGTAAAGAGTTTGGCGCCCAAAAAGTGTTATTCTCTTCTAGCTTTAAAACATTTTACCAAGAAGTGCTGAACGTTGCTTCGATTATGTGTCTTATCTACTGTGGAATAAGGACATCGGGATTATACATAGGTACCTACTAATGGTAACACGTTGCTCCATTTAAAATACTAAATTCAGTTAAATCTGGTAAGGATTCGGAGCCAATCCTCAACCTATCTAAAATTACAGAATAACTACAAGGTTCTAGGTTTAATCTTCGGGTCGAAAAGAAGCTTTACAGTTTGGACTTTAGAGCTTATTTTGCTATATTTGGGTCTATAGTACTAGAGACATAAATAAAACAAAACACCACCGTCAATTTCCTTTATTCACCTGGGTAACACTAGGACCTAATATAAAGCTAACTGAGTTACTATTTCGTGGCCACGAGAGCAGCGCGTTTGCTCTCGCCACCGCTACGGCTGACGTCACAACTGCTATTATGGCAGCTGTCAAAAGGAACCATCGAGCTACTTCCACGTAGCCTATGAGCTTGTGGGAGTCGCGTAGTTCTTGTTGAATTGACGCTGGTATTGTGGCCCCCTGTAAAAAAGAAAAGTGTTAATGACTCAATTTTACGGCATTTTTTTTGAGGAAAACCATTGTTAAGTCTTTTTGCACGCAAGGTGTCGCAATAGGGATGATGACAGGGTATGAAAATTAAAAATGTAATTAGTCCGTCAGTTATCTAATGAAAAAATATTACACACGTATTTTTTTATTTTGTCGTGTAATAATAATAAATTAATAAATTGTTTATTCTATAAAAGGGGACATATTTACATGAATAGTATCTTAACGATTTGATTAGAGCTCAGTAGCTTATTTGCCTGAACTATGTTGAACCTGTGTTTCAGACTATTCAGTACAATATTTTTCATTTTAAAGTTATAAATAAATTAACAGTATAAAGTACTAAAATAAATCTTACATAACATAAAAATAAAAGGTAAAAACAGCGAGTTAGCAGATTATCTGTCGACCAACAGTAAGTCTTCAGTCTGCGCATATGCAGTATTACGCAAGAACGCAATAACAGTTTTTTTACAATTAAAATAGTAATAAAATGATACTTAGATATAACGAATCAAAGTTTAGGTGTGGGGCCTAAAACGTCATTTCTACGTATAAAATGTACATAGAAGTGACGTCACGCGACATTTCTAATCAATATATATTCGAAACTATTCGTTTCCGTAAAAAAGTTAAAAATACGTGTCTAATGTTTTTAAACAATCTACCAGACGGACATTCAAATGAAAATTAGTCATCTACCCTATTATAGTATGAAGGAGTTTTTTGTCCAATTACAGCAGCTGTCAAATATTTAACGTCCAATGGTGTGACATTAGCTATTTCCCTATTGGACGAAGGACGAGAGGCTTACACTAGCGGCATAAGGTAAGCAAAAATATGGTACGCCCCATTAGTTATGGGTAATTATTCTTAAACAGTCTCATTGCTGGGCAAAGGCCTCTTCAGTTTCTCACACGGATAATTAGAGGATTAGGTTATTTAGTATCAGATAATGGACTTAAAAGAATCAATCAATCGAACATAAAACCTTCCTTTTGAAGTTAAAAGAGACATTTAAGTTCGACGCGTAATTAATTTGATTTAATGCTTTATGAAAAGGAAATAGAGTTGCAATTTAAGTATCTGTCACTTTGCTACTGACCTTTTGCTGAAAAATATTTTTCTGTTAGTGATTTCAGTCCATAGCTATGTTTATCTGGTTTACTTTAGATAGAGATAGTGTTGATAGTGGATACACTCAGTGTTACGTTGACGTAATATGTGTGCCTACTGTCAACATTGTTATGAAATTATTTTAAGTAGGTACGTTAGGTGATTATATTTTATGTAACTACTTACCTAATTAGCCGTTTGTTACCGACCTGCATCGCATGCAATATTGCATCGATTGTTAGGGTCAATAAGGATGAAATCTCTCTAACAAACTTCATAAATTTAATGAAAGGAAATCAATGAACCATCGATGTAATAAAAGTACAGAGTGCAAACTGACAGATTTTAGTCGGTTCATTTGCCGTGAGATGCAAGCAAATTTTTGAAAATGTTTGAATGCAGTTTTGTTTCTTTTCGAAAATAAAGGAATGTTTTCTTTAAGTAAAATTTTATATTAACCATTTGAGTACCGTCATTATAGACACAATTAAAGATTAATAGGTTGCGGTCACCGGTCTCCTCGCGGTGTTTGACAGTTTAAGAGTACTTCCCCTTCAGGTGGCGTTACAAAATTCCACCCTGTATATGTATAAGATAAGATTACTTAAACCTATTAGGTACTTAAATGGCTACACAAGTTTATTTTGTAGGTAATTTTAAAGCGAAGAAAATTCATAATCTTTTCAAAATGAAACATTCGAGATCGAGATTTTGCATCAAAGCAATACGCTCTTGGTCTATATAAAAGAAATATTTTTTATAAAACATCTGGTCTGCATTGCGGAATGCATTTTATCATTGGCAACGGGCCAAGAGCTTTCTTAAGAATGAAAGGAAGAGATGGAAATATTTTTCAATAGGTAACAACTCTGTACTTAAGAGAATATTATGTAAAACTTGCGACGTAGATAAGATATGTTTGAGACAAAATGATAAGACGAGATTGGGTATTTTTACCAAGACATACTTATTGTATATTGAATATATGCTACATGAGGATATCATTAAGGAATTTATTTATTTATACAACATTATATTATATAAGTATATACTTACATAGTGAATTGGCGTACTTAAATGTTTTAGGTATTTTCTAACAGTAGTAGAGGGATGGTGTAAAAAACCGCATAAAATTAACGACGTCATTGTTCCAAAACACAAAGTTAACAATTCTGATGAACCCAAATTTTGGTTTCAATAATTGAGCCACTATACTCCCAAGCAATCCAATAAAATACAGTTTTGTTTCTATATTTGATGGGCTGACGTTTGACCACTACTCGCCCGTGGTAAGCGATGATGCGGTCTACGATGGAGCACATCGTCCCATAAGCAACCTATTTACTCGGGCCTTAATGACACCCAGATGCTAATAAGTCACCACGATGCTTAACAAAGCAGGAGGATAATGATAAGTTAAATAAAAGTTAAAGTTTTTCAGAGAAACACCCAGTAACAATCAATTAATTGACGATACTGGCGTAGCAGAGAAGAAGTTGTGAACTATCCGATTTTAAACCTAAGCAACAAAAGGCTCCGGCTCGACGTGCTGGAGAAGGAACGGGGTGGTTTTAGTCAGTAAGAGTCTGACACTCCCTCCCGCCTCACCCAGGCGGGAGCAGTCATTCGATGATTTTCCCCTCTTAAAAAAAAGCAACAAAAAGAAAAGCTACAGCTAAAAAATCTTTCAGTCTGACTTACTTCTTCTAACCACAGCATGGGGAACAATCCAGTTGGTACTCTCTTCAGTTGAGGAACTGTGTCAATCTGGCGCAGCTCTATGTTAAATTGAAGCCGCTTTAGACCAGACAGCACCACACCACTCGTCTGAGAACATAAAGTGAACAATTAATGATGAAATAGAGGATTAAGAGTTTTTGAGATCGCTGAAAAAATAGACTGCTATATTTTGTTATAGAGGCCTAGATAATACATAAAAGTAATTTCAAAATGTAGGTGGATTCCATGTAGACTAATTAAGTATATTTAAAAACATTTTTTTTATTGGTCCCTAATTGAGTAATATGTATTATTGTATTTTTCTTTTTTTGCATGCGTATTGCACTATTTTGTATAAGACCTTTTCTTTTGTACCCATGTTCGCAAATGAATAAATGATTATGATTATTATGATTACCTATACATTACAGAATAGTGGTTGCATTTCAGTTGGTTAATCCGATAGTGGAGCCTGATACTGTGTTTGATTTTTGGTAATTATCATAAAACGAATAATATAACAGGCAAAACTAAGCACATTCCTTTTTTCTTGTTTTCTTCATTAGAAAATAATAGAAGTGATATTATGTACCTATATTCTGCAATATCTATAGCTTACCGGGTCAATATAAACGTAAGTATTATGCTTCTCCTTGTCCGGCATGATGCCTGATCCGAAGTACTCCAGTAGTTCTTCGGAGCCAAGGAAGAAGTGAGGTAGAGAGGCGATGGCTGGAGCACCCTGACACGGCATCAAGTTCAGCAGACCCATCAGAAGACAACCGTCATGGTTTGCACTCCAGTTCCTGGCAAAATATTTGGTTGTATAGTCCTTGGGCATTCGGATACTGTAATTTTATTCACAAACAAAAATATTGCTGACTAATAATATAATTGGAAATGAATTTCGGTAAGTTTCTAATTAAAAAATAATGCTGCTGACAAAATGTTTTGAGTTCCTTCTGAATCTTAATTAATATCAGCAATGAACTAATTTGGACTAGAAACGTTCCTTCAAGATCTCGAACAAAAAACCTTAACCTTAACCTTACTAAGTATTACCTAAATAAAACTTAAAAGTTACAAACTTTTTACAAAAACATTTGTTGTTCGGATTGGCACTTTTCGCTGCAAACGCTGACTCCGAGATCTCGTAGTAATACGCGCTGATGTTGAAGATTTCTTTCTTACCAACTAGATCCACATAGACGGACCTGCGGAACAATGGAATGAGGGTCAAAATACTTTTAAATGTCTTTTATAGCGTAACTAGCTTTTACCCGCGGCTTCGCTCGCATCACAAAAGGATAAAAAGTAGCCTATATGACATATACTAATACACACAGCGCCATCTATACTAATACTTTTGTTTTCCCTCGGGAATATCACATTTTCCGGGATAAAAGTACCCTATTATTTAATCCGGACTTCTAACTTTACGTCTTTAAAAATTAAAAGCAATCGGTTTAGTAGTTACGGCGTGAAAGTGGAACAAACAAACAAACTCACTTTTCGATTTATAATATTATTAGTAAGGATTTTGAGGTGTTTAAATCGTATAGAGCAAGATTTTGTACTAAGAGCCTCACTTGGAGATGAAATGGAAGAAGAAATTAGGTAATTTAAAGCGGTAATGATCTTTTTGGTCGAATGGTCGATCTTTTGTCTTTAGGGTGTAATGGCGGTCCTTGAGAGATAATTTGAAGAAACTGTTTGTTTTGGTTCTCCTTTAAATGATAATGTTGCATGGAATTATTGCACCTAAAATGGGTGGAAAACCTCATATTTGAGAGATTCACGTCTAAATTGTCCTATCATAACTGTCCAGTAAGACTTATGAATATACGTTTTACGTATGTGAAAGTATAGGTAAGTAACTGAAACACATAACATAATATAAAATTACGCCTTTTACATTATGATACTGTACAATGTAACACCCACTTTTCACTATTTATGTTATTAGTCCCATGTAATAGGGGGTGCGCCTATTACCATATACCGGGCACAATTCTAGACTACTACTGAGATTTTTTTTTAAACTCAGTAATACTTTGCCCGACCCGGGAATCGAACCCGAGACCCCTTGCCCGGCAGTCGCACTTGCGACCACTCGGCCAACGAGGCAGTCAACTGAAACATTACTATCTAATATTGATTTAATTAACAATTACAGTGTGTTATTTATTTGAGTCGTCAGTTGCTACATCACGCACTGCCGTATAATTATAATAGACTAGCGGACCCAACAGACCTTGTCCTGCATATCCACTTGAATGTATAAACAAAAATTCATTGAAATTAGTTCAGCTGTTTAGGATAAATAACCTAAACATCGACTGCAGCGCCATCTGCCGGGCTGATTTGTGAAACTAAACCATTCCCAGATCCTCTTGAACACACACAAAAAATTCCAGTCCAATCCAGGTCCAGTCGTTTGAGAGAAGTTCAGTGACATACACACTCACAGAAGAAATATATACATATATAAAGATAGACGTACCTGCAAATATCGGGTTCAAAAGTATACAGCTTCTTCGGCACATTACCCTCCTTGATCGGAGGGAATATAGAGGAGTCTGATCCGTTGATCTGCCCGCAGTATTTGTCACCCCACATAGGCATCACCTTCTGTTCTTTATAGGAGACGATGTTGCCAAGTTCGTACATATTCTCCCGTCCTCGAATCATCTCGTATGGACCTGTTTCTGTGCGGTTCATCTGGAAGAAGGTGATTTGAGAGTAGGTTAGGTGATTATGAAAAAAAAGCACTGACATCAAAACAAGTTGACTGCACGGTTGGTGCGGTGGCTGGGCAACTGGCTACCGAGCAAAGTGTCGCGGGTTCGATTCCCGCACGGGACAACATTTTGTGTGATCCACAAATTGATGTTTCGGGTCTGGGTGTCATTGTGTATGTGAACTTGTATGTTTGTAAACGCACCCACGACACAGGAGAAAATCCTAGTGTGGGGGCAATGTCTTATTTTAAAAAAAGTTCTGGGTTTAAATCTAGAAGCAAATGTTTAGAAGCTGCTAATTAAACTGTCAAACACCAAGCGGTCACCGGTGACCGCAACCTTTTGTTCTTTAATTGTGTCTATAAATACGGTACTCGACGAGTTAAAATTACATTACTTTCTGTAGGTACTTCTGTCTATTATTAAAGTCTTAAAATGTAGTAAGTTTGGTTTAATTAGAGCCCCTACTATAAAACAATGAGCAAGTAGCACAATTACAAATATAATCTTGAAGCAATATCATCATTACATAGTATAAAACAAAGTCACTATCTGCTGTCTGTCTGTCCCTATGTATGCTTAGATATTTAAAACTACGCAACAGATTTTGATGCGGTTTTTTTAATAGATAAAGTGATTCTTAAGGAAGGTTTATATGTATATTATACATATTGCACCCGTACGAAGGCGGGGCGGGCCGCTAGTACTACATAAACTAAAAAAATAATCTAAGTGTAGTTTTAATTAATGTTAGATACTTACTATTTGCGATAAATTACCTTTATCGTCACTGTAAACTTTAGTTATGTTTGAAAAGCCATGGATGTACTGTAAAACCAATAGGTAACTCCTGCATTCTAACACAGACATCATATTGTCTGAAGCATTTGATGAAACCGGATCACAATTAATAAACTTACATGTGAAAACATAGAGAAATAGAAGCCATTCGCTCCTTCAGCTGGTCGCATAGTTGGAGGTGTGTCACTCTTTATTTTACCGCAAACTAGACCTAAAGTAAAAGAAAATAGAATTTAAAATACATAGCTAAGATTATATAGTGTTTTGTTCGGAAGGATGGACATCAAGTTTCCTTAAATTTCAATTCTATTTCAAAAGTAACAAAGGTTGAAAATCGCTTAAAGAAAATTGGGGTATCTCAGTGTTCAGGCGTCTGTTCATTGAACTTAGGTCAATCTTAGAGACCAGATGCTATTCAGTCAGTCCGAAGGGAAAACTATGTCTATAACCCTGAATATTTTACTTTACCCACACAATTTTGTAGGAAACCTGCCTTGAATTTAAATGTTGGTCAGCGAACTTGTGAATATTCTTATCTTGGTTTATTTACTACTAGCTTTTTTACCCGCGGCTTCACTCGCGGCACAAAAGGATAAAAAGTAGTATATGTGACATATACCAATACACACAGCGCCATCTATACCAATACTTTTGTTTTCCCTCGGGAATATCAAATTTTTCCGGGATAAAAACTACCCTATTATTTAATCCAGACTTTTAACTTTGCGCCTGCAAAAATTCAAAGCAATCGGTTTAGTAGTTACGGCGTGAAAGCGAAACAAACAAACAAACTCAATTTCCAATTTATAATATTATAGTAAGGATGTATTTACACTTTGGTAAAAAATATACTGGCTCGTTTTCCCAATTAGTACTACAAATATTTTCTCAAAGTTATTAAATTTAAATAGTAATTTATTTTCAAAGAAGGTATAAGGTCCGTCTTCGTGTAATAAATATTAAACAATCTTGAATATCCTATGGAGTCATTGAACCTTACCCAGAGCAGCATTATCGCCATCACAGTTCAAGTAGATGCCGTCGAAGAAGAGGTCTTTCACTTTGACCCTCAGGAAGGCGTCCTCGAGGCTTGGGAAGAACTGCTCCAGCGCTTTGTTGACCATTCCTACGAAACTTGGCATCATATCGTGGACTGTTAGTACAGCAGCCTGGAATAGGAAGAATAATAAAAATTAGGTTTTACGTATTATCTAGTTGGATAAATTTGACGTAATACTATAGGCTAAAGTCCGGTTATTCTTCAAAGGGGATTGTTTAAAGGATACCTACCATTTTTTATACATAGTATGGTACAATACCTGACATGTAAACAAACTCAATAATATTTAATTATCAGAGCGTTGGTTCCAAGACTAAATAGATGAATCGAAAGATAACATCACGCCTTTTTACTGCCGAAGGGATAGGCAGAGGTGCACATTATAGCACTGTACAATGTAACACCCACTTTTTACTATTTATGTTATGAGTCCCATGTAATAGGGGTGAGCCTATTGCCATATACCGGGCATAGTACCAGACTCCGTGCTACTACTGAGAATTTTGCGACCACTCGGCCAACAAGGCAGTGACGTAATACTATAGGCTAAAGTCCAGTTATTCTTCAAAGGGGATTGTTTAAAGAATACCTATCATTTTTTATACATAGTATGGTACAATACATGTAAACAAGCTCAATAATATTTAATTACAGTTTCAGAGTGTTGGTTCCAAGACTAAATAGATGAATCGAAACATAACATCACGCCTTTTTACTGCCGAAGGGATAGGCAGAGGAGCACATTACGGCATTTAATGCTACTATACAATGTAACACCCACTTTTCACTATTCATGTCTTGAGTACCATATAATAGGCGGTGAGCCTATTCCCATATACTGGGCACAATTCCAGAATCCGTGCTACTACTGAGAATTTTTTTTAAAGACTCAGTAAGAAGCGAACTCAACACCCCTTGTCCGACAGTCGCACTTGCGACCACACGGCCAACGGGACAATCATTGACAACTGATTCGAATTGATTGACTATTTTCGGCAAATAAATAGGAATCTGTTTTATCTTAAACTAGCTTCTGCCCGCGACTTCGCACGCGCAATCCCATTTCCCCCCGTTCCCGTCCGTAATTTTCGGTAAAAGTAAAAAAAAGTATTAGACAAAAAGTCCTATGTCCGTCTCCTGGTTCTAAGCTACCTCCCTGCCAATTTTCATCCAAATCTATTCTGCCGTTCTTGAGTTATAAATAGTGTAACTAACACGACTTTCTTTTATTTATATAGATATATAGATATTGGAAAACAGAATGAATTCAAGAAGCAGTCTTCGGAAAACAAAATTACTTATACCTTATTTTCTTAGTATTTCATTAAATTCCCTTCACCAGAAAGTTCCGACGACACAGATTAGTGAAGTAATCAGGAAGACGAATGTCGATCTAAGTCTAATTGCTATTGGCAGCAACACGAGTGAATGTCCTTACGTATTTTTGCTTTCCTCTTCTTACTTTGAGAGTCTTATTTCGATACTCATAGGATCCATTATTGAAATATAAGTACATGAGTGTAGGAAGTAGTGTTTCTTTTTTTGTCATGAAATAAGTAGGTACCTAAATTAAACTATCATATTGTACCCCATAGAAAACCCCTTATTATTTTATACCACACAAAAATTACTAATAAGATATAATGTTTTAATATCTAGAAGTACTCATAACTACAATTATTTAAAATTATTCCAAAGTATGCAACATAAATCTTCTGTTTTTATAATAACTATCGTGAGACATACTAAATTAACTAAAATCGCGGGTTACTAACGTGAATATATATATGGGGTTCTTCCGTGACATCGCCGACACCGCGCACGCTGCTCATGAGGAAGAACCCCTCTGTAGTTCGAAACTAGTAGAGCTTTTCTCAGTATATTCACGTGAGTAACCCGCGATTTTAGTTAATAAATTTTCTCATTAAAAACGTGTTATAATTATCTTATTTCAAGCAAATATTTTCATTCATTTCTAAGCATAACTTCTAAACAAATTTTATTATGATCTCTATGTCCTAACCAAAAAGTTCAACTTTCAATATTCAAGTTTAAAAAGCTTAAATCCTTCTTTCTTACCAAGTATGAGAAGTTGATGACGGTAACTTCATCGTGCTCAGTGAGATCCCCCGAGGCCTCGGGATCGAACTCGAAGCGTTTACGTAGCATATATTTGATCGTGTCATTAGGGCCGTATCCTAAGATAGTTCTCTCTCGATATTGCCTGGAAAAGAAAAATAATTTTGTTTTGAATGATGACAGGGTATGAAAATTAAAAATCTAGTTAGTCCGCCAGTTACGCAATGAAAAAATATTAGACACGTATTTTTTATATTGTCGTATAAGAAAATAATACTTAAATAAAATGAATCAAAGTTTAGGAGTAGCTACGTCATTTTAGAGTATAAATCTTACTCAAAAGTGACGTCATGTGAAATTTTCCACAATGTACCTAAGTAAGATTGGTAAGTTTCAATCAGAATAAAATCGATGATCATTATCATTATCATCAGCGATTGTGGCTGTACAAATACTACTAACTCGCTAATGGTTGCATTAGCGAGTCTCTGCAGTGGGTATTTGTATCGGACCATCATTAGGACGAATTAATTTAACAAATAACCTCCTCTTTGTTAGGTAGTCGGTTAATTAGGCGTAAGGTTCCACTTTGTCTCTTCTCTGCAATACTAGTTACGCTCAAAATAGTTTTTAGTGTTATATAAACTATAAAATATGTACTCCTACCTATTTAAGTGTGGGAGCGCCATGCTTCGGCACGAATAGGCCGGCTCGACCGGAGTGATACCACGGCCTCACAGAAAACCGACGTGAAGCAATGCTTACGTTGTGTTTCGTCGTGTGAGTGAGGTTACCGGAGGCCCAATTACCCTCCCCTTCCCCAATCTCCCCACTCCCTGAATCCCCAACGATCCTCAAACTCTTAATCCTCAAAAATCCGGTAACGCACTTGTAACGCCTCTGGTGGTCCAGGTGTCCATGGGCGACGCCAATTGCTTACCATCAGGTGATCCGTCTGCTCGTTTACCGTCTTATGCCATAAAAAAACTCCCTTGATCCACTACAAAATTGTACCTTCTTATGACTGGCAATTTCCGCCTTGCATCCTTTATCACTCAAAAAGTAAAGGAACATTTCTGTATCAAAAACACGATTCAAAGTGATATTACCTACAAGATACAGGAAGATGTCGTATCTCTAAGATTGATTGACTTAATATTAACCAAATTGAGTATCGTACAGAAGACAGAGTTGATCGATTGAGGGCAATCAAGTCTACATTTTATTGGGATTTACCCTGGATTTGTAGACTAGATAGGTAAGGATAGATAGAAGGACTATCCATTACTAATGTCAGTCGTTTAGTCTAGAGTTTTCTGGAAGAGGTAAGGGTTCACAGGATGAATACCAATGTCTTAGAATTTAGATATTTAGTGGCATGTTACTCGTAACTCGTTCGACTGCCTCATTGGCCGAGTGGTCGCAAATGCGACGGCTGGGCAAGGGGTTTTGGGTTCGATTCTCGGGTCCAGCAAAGTATTACTGGGTTTTTAGAAAAAAATCTGAAAAAAAGTCTGGAATTGTGCCCGGTATATGGCAATAGGCTCACCCGCTATTACATGGGACTCATAACATAACTAGTGAAAAGTGGGTGTTACATTGTACAGTGTGGCGTAATGTAGTATTCTATCTACCCCTTCGGGGATAAAAGGCGTGATGTTATTGTATGTTATGTTGAAAATACAATAAATAAAGGATGACGGGCAAACATGAATGGGAAGTGTACTACAACTATAACATTTCCCCACAACGAATTGAAACTAGCCCCCATAATAACAAATGATAGTCGTAGGAATCTACACATTGGAATGAGCAACTAGCTTCACTTCTAAATTTTTGTTGTTGACGTTCCTTCCTGAAACGAAAAGTGCCTACCTGGTCTAATTGAAATAAACGATATTAATTTTTTAACTTTGACTTTGATAAAAAGAGCTTTCTAACGACATACGACTGAATAAATTATTATGTTTTCGGCTTACTCACGTAATAATTTGACGAGGAACTCGACTAGTTTCAAGCCATGCAACTGCTATAGCAGTGCTTGAAACCAGTCTCTAGCATGGCTTGAAACTAGTCGAGTTCCTTGTCAAATTATTACGTGAGTAAGCCGAAAACATAATAATTTATTTAGTATGTCTCACGAAAGTTACAATACAGACATACGACTGGTTGTTATTGGTCGGTAGGTACATTCTGCCGTTCATCCTTTCATAGATTGGAATTGCTGGCTGCTGTACATAACATGTATTTTCATTATGTCTCCTACCAAACCCCTTTGTCCATTCATGTACATATCTTGATATATGGTTTAACATTTTGATGCATATTAAATTCCTAGACCACAGTCTAGTCTAGACTGTATGATACTATAATTTATATGCATTGGAAGGAAAACGCAACCATATTTAAATGTCTGACTTAATATACATACTCCTTTAATATTTTATATGCTCTTTGATTTATATTTCATTTGAGTTTTATATGGTACAGTCTAGCAATGTAACTTTATTAATGTTTGGATAGTTATTTTTAAAACTGTACACTTCGTAAAGTAAAATATTACATTACGCCTTTTATCCTCGAAGGAGTAGGCTGAGGTGAACATTACGGCACTTAATGCCACTGTACGATATTTTTTTTTCAATATAACGTTGCCCCACACTAGGGTTTTCTCCTGTGTCGTGGGTGCGTTTACAAACATACAAATTCACATTCACAATGACACCTAATGACCCGAAACAACAATTTGTGGCTCACACAAAGTATTGTTCCGTACCGGAATCGAAACCGCGACACGTTGCACGGCAGCCGGTTGCCCAGCCGCCGCACCAACCGTGCAGTCGAACACAATATAACACCGACTTTTCACTATTTATGTTATGAGTGTGGTATAGGGGTGTGGCATATCACCATGTAATAGGGGGTGAGCCTATTGCCAGACTAAGATTTTTTTTAAAAACGCAGTAGTAGTTTGCCTGACCTGGGAATCGAACTCGAGACTCCTTGCCCGGCAGTCGCACTTGCGACCACTCGACAACCGAGGCAGTCTGACTGACTGACTGACTGACTGTTCACTAGTTTTATTTGAGGCCCTTGTGGTGGTCATACACCGGGTGTAATTTCAGACTCAGTCGAATTGAGACTTTTTGTCCCAAAATAGGCAAATCTTTTATAAACGACGTTTAAAAACCGACTTTAAACCTCTCTTTTTTCGAAGTCAGTTATTACGTCCAGTTTCTATAACCTATCTATCTGTGGATTTGCTTACTAGAGATAGAATATTGACACATTTTGTATGGAGCTCGTTTTGTATGGAGCTCATGTCAAAATTCAATCTCTAGTAATAAATCTACAGATAGGTAGTTTATAGAAACTGGACGCTAATACACTAACGTCCAGTTTCTATAACCTATCTATCTGTAGATTTGCTTACTAGAGATAGAATTTTGACATGAGCTCCATACAAAATGTGTCAAAATTCTATCTCTAGTATGCAAATCTAAATGTAATACTTGTGTAACCCTTCTCCTAAATGTAACAAACACTATTCTGAAAACCGCATTAAAATCGATTCTGACAATGGCGAGATCGTCGTACACAAACATATATGTATATACATACATCATCATTCCAGTTACTTAATTGGTTTTTGTTCTCAACCGTTGTGACTGTAATAAATAAATAAAAAATAAATAAATAAATCAGGTCGAACCGAAAACCTCATTTCTCTGAAGTCTGTAAAAAGCTCCAGTTATATTTGATCGATTTTGGTATTAAACGTAGTCGAGATGGGGACAGAACATGTTTTCTACATTTTTAACTTTTAAGGTTAGTTAAATATTGTAGGTATCTAATTTTTGAATACTAAAATAAGATCACGAATCACAAGTCCTTAAGTTAGACAATTATAATGATTTATGCCCAGTATGATAACCTCATCATTGCCATATTGTGTAAAAATGTAAAATACATTTTAAAACAAGTGTCACCTTCGTTACAGAACTGTGTTGAACCCAAAAAATCTAAAAAAAATTTACATTAATCCTATTATTATCTACCTGAGTAAATTATACCTGTCTATAATAAAGGGCATAATATTTTTGCCTAAAACTGGTCTCGAATTCACTAATTTAGAGGTAAACAAAGAGTAATTTTCACAGGTACTTGTCAATTTGGACGATAACAACGATGTAAAATCCATTTAATGATGTTATTGTATGCTAATCAAAAAAGGTCTTGGTTAAATAGTATTTAATTATGAAGGTACTAGAAGTGCAAATCTTCGACAATATCAAAGTAACAAATCATTAGCACGCTTTTAATTCTCTTGTTTTATTATTTATTATTTTCTTATTCCATATTATATTCATTAAAAATGCTCTTAAATTACAATTTTAAATACAACTTACAAAATAAAAAATAATATGTAAAAATATAAAAATAGGAGCCGACCAGTAGCGGGATCATGGTCAAAGCTACCGGTGGCTAGGGCTCCAGAGACAGAAATCTCCTCACGATACGTGCCGTTTCAAGGAGAACTACCTTCTGTATCAGGCCCATCCACCTAACACCAGCCTCCTAAGATGAATGTCGAGGCTTTTAGGGATTATTCCATTGGCCGACACGACTATCGGCACAATAATAGCCGAATCCATACTCCACATGTCGACAACCTCGTGAGCTAAGTATATTTTCTTCATTTTTAGTACTTATTTACATGACATATAAAAATAAGGAAAGAAATAAATATGTACTTAAAATAAACTAAAACTAATGGAGACACTCTGGTAAGCAATGACTTATAATCGTCGATATTATATGGTATTCATAACCAAACCTTAGTTTGGAAATGAATTGAGTGTTATACATTTAGTAAGCTCTGTTTCTACAAGTTTTTTTCTTCTAGGAGATAAATCCAAGCTATGTAGGTATTATTTTAACGTACCAAACATAGATCTCAGTGTTGTTATTTCTTTTCCTGGCCACAGGCCCACAGGAAGAAATTCCAGTTGGAATATGTGGGGCATATGTACTCTGTTTTTATATATGTGTTATCCTCTGTGTTGAATGTGTGTACATAAATAAATAAATAGATTACTGAATTTTTACTTACTTGTAGACATAAGGTCCAATTTCATTAAGTATAGGTTTCTCCCCTTGGTTCACTTCTTCCACGTTGGTAACGTTAAATATGTATACTTTGAACTCCAACGGCATCGGCAGCTTCAGCCATTTGTCGAACATCATTGAATTATTCTCTAGTTGCACATTCTGGAACGAATAAAATATTATATAGTTGCAATAAATAATCATAGTTAGAGATATTGTGTTTCATTGATAATGACGACAACCCTTGCAGGTTGGGCAAGATATGTTAGGGATGTCGAAAAGTCTTTTTTTTTTGAGGGGGAAAATCATTCAATGACTTCTCCCGCCTTGGGTTCCGCGGCTCCGTATCGGACATCAGCCCTACTGGGCCCCATCTGTGGTGGTCTGATGGCTCTTTGAGGCGCGCGCCGAACGCGACGCGCTATATGCTCGGGTCTGGTTCTGGTCGGGCGTCGAGTTACATTTGCTCGCCGTCCGCAGACCCGCCCTTACGGTGTTTTAAGGACGGAGTCGGTGAAATAGTATAATAGGCGACTATCCTACGTGGGGTTCATGACATAACTGGCAAAAGTTACATTTAATGTGGGCCTTTTTTCCTAAAGGTGTTTTGAGTAAATATAAATATGCCATATGCCAATCGGATTTCTCGAAAAAGTTTTATTTCACGCTACGTCCTGCGGGGCGATCTAGAAGCGAATGCGAAGCGGTGCGGCGCGGAAATAAAAACAAACCGAAACGATTCGTATGCACGTAGGACAAGCCGTCGCATCACACGCACCGCATCCCATTGAATTCGCGTGGCACCGCTTTATAATCGTATTCGCTTCTAGATCGAAGAACGCAGGCCGTGCCGTCATGCGTCGGGGATCGCGGGACGATCTCCGGCCACGAGAAGCGCGAGCCTGCGGACGGCGAACATGGGTGGCTCCCCGTCCGTCCGAAAATAGACCCGAGCGTACGACGCATCGCGTTCCGCGCGCGCCTTAAAGAGCCATCAGACCACCACAGATGGGGCCCAACAGGGCCGATGCCGATTCGGAGTCGCGGAGAACCTAACAGGTTACCGGGGCTCCGGCTCGACCTGCAAGAGAAGGAACGGGGTGGTGAACCCCACCCAGGCGGGAGCAGACATTCGATGATTTTGCCCCCCTAAAAAAAGCCCTACCGTCATCCATAAATAGTTCTAGGAAACGCGATCAGAGCTAATCACAAAATATAATTATTGGGCATAAAATTTAGAGGAAGTAACGTAGATTTATATAAATAAACAAGGAGATATACTAAAACCCTATCATAAAACCCATTGTTTTCGATACCATCAACCTAATGACATTATACTTAAGGGTGTAAATGTAACGTTACATTTTACGATGTTTTCAAGCGCGCCATAAATAATGCCATAAATTCTATCGATGATGATTAAAACTTTATGACAATCTATAATAATCAATTCGTTTAGTATTCTTGTCATCGTTGCATCATTGATGCTTGTCATCGATTTTTGATAACACCTTACTTTTTTTATGGAATAGGAGGCAAACGAGCGCACGGTTCACCTAATGGTAAGCGATCAGCGTCGCCCATAGACACCCGCCACACCACATATGCTTTGCCGGACTTTTATAAAAAAGGAAAAGGAATTCGCTCTTTTCTTGAAGGTTAGAAGGTCGTATCTGTTCGGAAATACCGCCGACGACAGATCTTACTTAATAGAAAAGTTTATATTATATTAGTGAGTATTTTATTTGAGAGTCTACAATGAGGGCTACCGTTTCTTGAGTCAAGTGAACTAGAATACCAATTCAGAAGATAATTCGAGTTACTCAAAAGCTATATCCAGTATTAACCTAAAGACACAATTTTATGATATTAATAGACTGAGACAACCGTTATGAATGACGCAAAAAAGCCGTTTCTTCAAAAAGAAGACGTTGACGCTAATTTATGCAAAATAGTATAAATGAAAATAGAAATAAATAAATAACTGACGTGCAAACGAAACAAAAATACATCGATTTTTTGTCAATTTTAGCTTTATTTGTATTTGTTTTTGACTGCCGATAGAAAACTGTCCTCCGTTAACGTCGGTCACCGATGACCCCAATGGCGTTTAATGTGTTAAGGATAATGGAGGTTGTTAAACTCAAAATAAGGACAAAACGGTTTTAGAGTTATTTTCTTATTTGCACTCAAAAATCTTAGAATTTATTTTAGCTTTTAGCAGGTTTTGAGAACCTGGTTTGACAGGGTCATTAGATATCGTCATCTGGCTAAATGAAGTGATACACGTAAATACTTGTAGGTTTTGGTACCTAAACGTACTCTCAATAAAATTATTTATTTATTTATGTACACACATGCTGTTGTATGTGTGTACATAAAGGACAACACATACATAAAATTAAACATCCTATTCCTATTGGAATTTCTTCCTGTGGACCTGGAGCAGGTAAAGTAATAATAATATAGTGACACAGTGTGTAGTAACAAATAGAAAATTGGGATAGGAAACAGACTTAAAACTAAACAGATAAATAACCAAACAACTACATACAATATATAAATAAATACATACAAATTTTAAACTATACATATAAATGAAGAAATTTACATATCAGGAGGAAAGGTAGTGTTCTCTCACTCGTTTTTTAAAGATAGCGATAGACTCAGCGTCCCGAATGTTAGGCGGGAGTGCATTCCACAGTTTCACTGCATGAACGGGATTATCATTAGCAATTAGTTCTAGTTTTTCTGCAGGAAATTGAATAACTAAGAGAAGATTTATTCTAAGAATAATTTTGTAGTATTAAAGCCATGTGCACTATGGAATACATTTGTAGCCTCTTGCATGAAAAGATGCATGAAGAGATTGCTGCCTGTTGATAAACCGAAAGAGGTATGTAGGAATCGTAGCAATTAGCGTTCCATAGTGTTTGCCTACCCCTTCAGGGACAAAAGGCGTGATGTTATGTTATGTTACATAATCTGAAATTTAATAAATCACAAAACTAAGTTTCCAATGACCAATCGACCACAATCAGACCATAACCATATAAACAGTGTCCTCCATTAGTGTCCAGATTATTTTCCAGTCAAACTGGTATTAGCATTTAATAAAGATCACGATAATTAAAAAACAAGTCCTAAAAATCCGGATTTCTCTAATATCTCTCGATAAGAACCTGTCTAGTATTTATCTACTTTTTGTACACAATTCTTTCAAATACTTACAAAAGTGAATTGTGAAAAGTGGGTGTTACATTGTACAGTGGCATAATGTACAATTGTACACCTCTGCCTTCGGGGATAAAAGGCGTGATGTTATGTTATGTTATTCACAAACGAAAATCTTTTAAGAAAAACTTCTTACGTTAATTTAGACACAGAGAATTATTTAAGATCCTAATGGCGGCTATGTTTTAAAGTTAGTATAATTTCTATTTGATTTATACGAGTAACGTTGCGGATACTAAATATGTATGAAATATTATGAAGTAATATCACTTCTTTGAGTTATTAATACCCATAGTACCTAATAAGAGTTGGGTAAATCTCTACGAAATTTGGGCTGAAATATTTTAATTATGATTTTATCTACATGTCATATTAACTTCTACCCACGACTTCGTACGCGCAATCACATTGTTTCGTCAGAAAACTTCACGGAATTGATCAATCAAGATTGGGTAGTTGCTAACTAGTCAAATTCAATACTTTTTTCGAACTGTTAAAACGACAGTTTTCTATTAATTTTGTACGAGATTGTGTATTGTGACGTCACGTTTTTTTAGCGTCAAACCGCATACTGATTTCTTAAAAATGCAGGAAATATACTAAAATTAAGTTGGTCATAAAATCAAGTTTATTAATAAAAGTGTTATTATTTTTTAATGTTTCATTGTATTTAACAGTCAGTTTCCTTTTTTAGTAAGGAAAGTACTCAATTATATAATTCTAAAGTCACCATGAGTTTATGTATTGCATTATTGTATTCAACTGTGGTAAACGTTGAAACCCAGAAAATCCCCAGAAAAAATACATGTCTTATTCTGACACAGTTTTTAAGTTTACAGAAAAACCCATACAGTGATAATTGACAGTTTTCAAAACAATAGCCTGTTACATGTCGAGTCGACCGAAAGGGTCATAAGTTCAAAACCTGTCAATCGACCAACAAAACGGTAAATATTGTAGAATCCATTTTGTTTGAAAAATAACAGTTTTTCAATGATCTATTCTCTTAAGGAGAATAAAAAATATTTGACGCTTAGATGTTAAATGGCGACATTATTCTTGTGTAGATGCGAAATAAAAAATGGGTAAGCTATCGATCTTAGAGTGCAACGACCTTTATTGTTTACATTTCAATGTTAACACGTAAAGCATTGTTTAGAATTTTAACAATAAGTTTTGTGGACATCACATCAGTATATCTGCGTGTAGGTCAGGATTTATTAGTGTTTATTTTAGCCATTTACTCATTTAAACTTAAATTTTAAAACTCACTTAATTATGTCTAATATATCTTTAATAATAATAATTTCTGGTAACAAGGGCTAACTCTGTTAAAGTGTGAGAGAGCCATGCTTCGGCACGAATAGGCCAGCTCAACCGGAGTAATACCACGGCTTTACTGAAGACCGACGTGATACAACGCTTACGTTGTGAATCGTCATGTGAGTAAGGTTATTGGGGGCCCAGTTTACGGTTAACTCGGGGTTGTTTCTATGGTGTATACTAGTTATACTTCTCGTCAAGCTTTACCATAAACTGTACATCATTTTAGGTCAAATTCAAAGTCAAAGCATTTATTTCAATTAATCCTTAATTAAGCACTTTTGAAACGTCAAAAATTGAATTGTCCATCCGTCTGTCTGTCAGTGAAGCTAGGCGCTCGTTCCAAAGTGTAGTTTCGGATGAAGAAGAACGAGCAAGAAACTAAATGGTTATTCTTTTTAAAAAAAAGATTTTTACAGTCTCATTGATACATTATCTGATCCTATACCTATCCTTACTAATATTATAAATCAGAAAGTGAGTTTGTTTGTTCCACGTTCACGCCGTAACTACTAAACCGATTGCTTTGAATTTTTGCAGACGTGAAATTAGAAGTCTGGATTAAATAATAGGGTACTTTTTATCCCGGACAAATGTGATAGTCT